CCGAACCTAGATTTATAATTGGACTTACCATGTAATTTCATGGTATTTTTAAGAAACTTAGATCAATTCCGAAGATGGAGTGACAATTAAGTTACTCATAATCATTTCAAGTCAGCTGTGATGATAATCCACCAGAGATTTTTGAATCTTATAACTTTTTATCCAAAATCCGCCTTTTTGCATTTGTATATCTCACTTATAGGTGTAAAATTTTGAAACCTAAAAACAAAACAAAATCTAAAAATGAAATGTTTTTTTTTCAAACTGACAAAATGAAAAAAAATATAATGCCAATATTTTTCATTTTACACAAATTTTTATCCATTATATGATGATAATGAACAGATGAAAATCAGCAGACGTTAACGGAATTATTTAACTGGTGGTTATTGTTATTGCTGATAATGACATAATATGACCAAAAGTTATTAGTCGAAAATTCTCGATTTGAATTAATTTTTTAAATCCTGGTCATTTAAGATTGGATGTGTAATTATCTGAGTATAATACACACGTTTATGAACCTATTTATTTAAGATATGCATAAAAACTATATATTAGTTCAGAGGTATGATTACTTTTAATGCTATAAATTATTTTTTTTTATTTTTATCAGAGCTCCGATTTGCTCGATTTTACTCGCGAGTGAAAAATACTCCCGAGTGGGAGTAAGTAAAGAGTACGAGTTTTTAGAGAGTATACTCTCCACTCTTTTATTTTGTTTGGGAGTGCTCGCGAGTACTCCTTGTTGAAGAAAAAGAGTATGAGTCAAAATGTTCGAAATAGAGTAAGAGTTCACTCTAAGAGTAAAATCGAGTGGATAAATAAATTTGGTTGTTTGGTTATTTGTGTGTAGTAGCAAATTTTTTTTGATGTTGATCTTTTGTGTGCTGTGGGGAGATAGATCATGTTAAAAAAACATAAAAGGGCATTGATTATTTTGTTTATTGAAAATGGTTACACATGTGAGGTACAAATAAAAATCTTATATGAAATGACTTACATAAAGAGAACGCAGAGAACGAGCTTGTTGATGCATGCTTTCCCAGCAGTACTGCAAACCAAACATCACAACACAAACAAACAATGCACACAAACAACATCAAGTAAAACAACGGTATCACAAACAAAACAAAAAAATAAATAAAAATAAAAGAGTACTCGGCGTGAGCGTAATCTGTTCGATTCCGAGCGTATTTCACTCCCACTCGAAAACGAGCGAAGCACTTGTGCTCTTATTTGAGTGGCAGAGAAAAATAGAGTATACTCTATTTACTTTTTCTACTCGCAGGAGTACTCCCGCTCGAATTCGAGCGATTTTCACTCTTTACTCGAATTCGAGCGAGCATTTCGGAGCTCTGATTTTTATATAGATGATGCGTATTTGTCACGAACTTACTCAGACAAATTTTGAAGTTGGAATCTATAACCCTTCTTAATATATAAGCATAAAAATTAAATATTATTTCAGATGTACGATTACTTTCGATGCTATAACTCTATATCCACGCGGAATTTTTAAAGTGTGTATAGCATATGTTATTTCCCTGGGATGGTACGACATGCGGTGAAAATCTCAGTAAAATCGGTTTAACGGTTTTTGAATCTAGAAGCGAAACAGTTTTTATTTCCTTCATGTAAATTATTTACGTGCAACGGAGAGTGAATTTTCCCCCAATCGTTCCACGCTCAATTTTGTATGGATGATGTGTATTAACATCTACGTCATTCAGACAAATTTTAAAGGTGGTACATGTAATGGTTCTTAAGATATACGCATATTACATGTTCAGAAATTTTGAGGTATGTTTACTATTGATGCTATAACTCTGCATCCACGCGGATGCCTATGTTACTTTCAGGGCATGCCCCGACATACAGTGTAAATCTCATTAAGATCTGTTCAGCGGTTTTTGCGTCTATCGGTAACATACAAACAAACAAATTTTTTCTATTTTATATACATATATAGATATATATATATAATTAAAGATTTGTGACAAATGTTCATTTCAATTGCGATAACGTTCATGGTCACTGGCAGATTAAAATTTCCATTTAAAATTTTACTTTGAAATGTTAATGGAGTGACAGACCGAACGGCCAGTTGAAAGGCCAATCGGTTAGTCGACTTAGTTAATTTGATTTCCATGTATGGAATTCATGAACACAAGCTGTAACTTTCGAATAAAGTTGAGAATAATGCAGAAACTTTTAATTATTTCATGTCACTTGTCGCGCACATTCTTTGCTTCAAACCCCTAGCTTAACACCAGCCTGCCTGCAACTTCTGTTCGTGATGTTTGCTTTTCGACAGCAAAATTGAAATTAATTCAATCTCTAATGAGTTTTTATTATTACTTTTATTCCTTCTTCCTCCGTGAATTGCAATCGTACAATATTTATGCTGATGGGTATGTGTGTTTCTTCGGCCTACCCCATAACTACAGTGGGCGTAAAAGTGATAGTTGGGAAATGTCTTTGGCTAAGATTGGTAACAAATTCCGATTTCCACATAAAGAAGCGGAGGACATTAATGATATCATCTGACAGTGAAATATGTTAACGGGACAGTCTAAGCACCAAATTATCCTGGACACTGATTTCACCACTATAATCTGAAGCGAGCTACTTACTAATCTATGTTAATACATACTCGATTTCGATTTAGGATGTTCGATACCACTGTTGGTGGCACTTGCGATCAAGTGATGCATATCTCATTTGCAACACTTAAAGCTTTCTATTGTTTCCAGCTCTTGCCCTGCCCTTGCACTAAGGACACGAAGGTCGTAACATTCGCTTTATTTTCAATGTTTCCCGTCTGTGAGGGTTTCCATTGTTTCTGCAGCCATCGTTTGCAGCAGATGTAAGCGTGTAATGGGAAAATGTAATTTAAATTTCTTGACATCATTCCATGTTGCTCGCAGCGTAATGTGAGTGGACATTCATGTCCGTGTCGACTCAGTCGTAAAAGTCGTTAATTGTGGAATGAAAGATAGATGGAAATTGCAATAATAACCGGGCGTTTATTAAATATAAATTAATTTCCAGACACAATACCCAGTGGCACAATAAATCAAATGGCCACCCCTGCCCTTCTTTGGACTTTTTTTCAATACCATCAACCGTCAAAATTCAAACGACCACAAGGCAAACACTACACTCCAGCTACAAACATACACACACACACATACCAGCCAACAATGAAATTGGACATGTGCGTTAAGATATGTGGACCAACACAAAAGTGTCTAATAAAGTTTGACTAAACTCCTTTACGTCCAAAGATGACACACACCGCCACTTCTGGCCGTAAAATCCTCTTAACGTTTAGACCTCTTGTCAGTTATCGAAACCCATCGCACATAATGCGTGAATCCTTTATGTGGTCAGAAAATTTATCTCACTTTCCGAAACAGAAGATGATAAAAAAGTAAAATAGTTTACTATTGCAGAAGTCATAAAATATGCGAACATTTGCTCTTATGGTTAAAACCTGAAAATATGTTAACAGAAAAGAGTTAAACTGAATTTAAATGAGGCACAAGTGGAAACAGTTATATTATTTATAATTGTTGGCATTGAATATTTTGGCATTTTTAGAATATATCACGTATCAATAATTACAAAATATGACAATTCAAAAATGAATTTATTTTATTTCACGAGGATTGGATCATAACGTACCACACTTATTATCCAATCCTCAGGAAATTTTACATGTACGTTCGACTCAATCAATATTTATCGATTCATAGAACCAGACTTTTGTGTGAACAATTTTAAATTTTGCGTTCTATGTCGTATATCTATGACTCCCGGAGGTCAACCACAGAAGTGGATGTGGCCATAAAATCAAGATCAGTTCCAGAAGGCTATATATTTTGCATACAAAATTTAACACCGCTATGGCTTTTGAGCGCATTATTCAAATTTGTGAAGGCGAACATATTTTGAATGTGAATATTTTCCTCATAGGTTGAGGAAAACCTATTTAGTGTGAATTATGTTTTTCTTCAAAGAAATTGCGGCAATTTGTGAGAAATTGGACTCTACCATTGCATTTATAACAAAACTTTATTTATTTTAATGTTGACCGTTTTTGGGAAGTATACGAGAAAATATATCCACTAAAATTATATTTAATATTCTTGGTAAAAAACTCGCAGTGTTCCTCATTACATACAAGTGTTATTAAAATAAATGTGATTAGAATTGTTAACAAACCATTTTAACTGGAGTAAGATCTTGCCTGATTTTTTTTTTTTTTTTTGTTTTTTTTTTTTATCTACACATGTATATGTATATTATATTATATGTATGTATATATTATGAAAAACATTAGACAATTATGGTTCCCAAGCAAATTTTATCTTCTGTCTTACAGGCCAATGACTTGAACTTCTGTTCACATTCACATAAATGTATTTACCCACCCACACTTCCGTTCCCCACTACGGAAATACTTGACTCAAATAAAACAAAACATTTTGTTCTACAATTGTCAATTGTTTTATTTCTATTATTTAACTTTTATTGAATATAAAGGAGTTGAACAATGGAGATTTTTCATTTGTTCGTTAACAGCTGATGTCTTAACTTGATGGATGATGTTTAATTTTATTTGGCTATATTAGGCTGTAATGAAAATAATTCAATTTCTTTAATTCTTTAGTTCTCAAAGGTGTTGGATCCGAAAAAATACATTGCATCAGAACATATATTTATGTCAAATGTTGTTTGGCATCGTTGTTGTTATTGGCTTTTATGAATTCATTCCGAGTTAAGATTACAACTGCCACACCATTTTGTTATACACACCACCAACGCCACCATTAATATTGATGTCAAATCTTCGTTCTTTTCAACGTTTTCCTTTAATTATAAGCAAAGTACTCCCCAAGTACACATCATTCCAATCTACTTACAACAACATGGAATAGTGTCGCTGGTGGTTGTATGTAATGGCACAGATTTCCCATTGTCGTGCGTATGTATGGCGTTTGGAGATTTAAAATTTAATTAACGGTTTGACGCACAATATCCGGCGGCAACATAAAATTATTCTTCCTCAGCGGTATCTCACTCAATTGACGGTCGATTGGTAGACGTGTATCATATAGCGATGGCGATTGGCAGATGATAGCAAACGTTCCAAAGATACATGACAGCGTAAATGTCCATAAAAAGAATCGATCCAAGACCATTGAAACAAATTTCCAATCCTCTATAATCTGTAACAAGACGAAATCGGCAAAAAAAATAAAAACAAATAATGCCACAATAGAAGGCGGAAGAAGAACAAACAAAAAACCACTACGATATGAAATAAGCCGCACTGATAATAAAAAAGACAACAACAAAAACCAAAACTGTTAAAATGGAACATTTTCAATTAAGCTTAATGAAAAATAAACCACTAAAAACTCATCATTTTAAGCATGATTTGCACAATTTTTTTAGTTTCCCTCTAATTGCAATTTCCCTGCCCAATTCCTGATGAAAATTATACCAGATGTTAAGGTTTCGAGTTTAACAACAACAAAGTGGTCGCTTCCCTTTGAAAAGAACAACTCTAGACCGCATAATGCCCCAGCGCACCACTCACTACAATCCAATTCTTTATTTATATGTTTAGTTGATGGATATTGTTGATGTTGTCTCAACAGAAGACACTAACACAAACATAAATGACTCAACGAGCCTTTGGAACAATATTTAATTACAACAATTATTATATGACTACTATATGATACCCTTTGTATAAGCGATGCCCTTGGTATGCTCATGCATAATCAATTCGAATTGTGGTTAACATATAAATCTGAATCGAATTAAACTGATTTAATCCAGTAGCCTGCCCAAAAGGGCTATATGTAAATCTGGACTAATTCTCATCGAATGACCAAATTGGCATACAATAACATGCCTACATAAGGATATTTTATGCAATAGTACTGTGTATATAAAAATACATGAACATAAATCGATGCTAAATCAATTATTAGGTCCATCAAGATTACTTTCACATTTCGCATTGGTGTCAATAAGGGATTGGGGCTAAATATTGTACAGTACATATATGCAGTACAAGGCTCTCGGAAATGTTATTAGTATCTCGGTTGATAATTTGCCATGTTACTCACCTGATTCAATGAATATTTCTAAGCCATAAGAGTCATTTCTACTATGAAACGAAAATTCAGTTATCGTTGTCGATAAGAGGGCGCCGCAAGCAAAGAACGGACGAAGATATGGAACAATTATGATTTGATACTACGCAATGACGTCTGCAATTCATTTCAGATACAAGTTATGGTCGTTAAAATGCGTTACAAAGTGAAGCTGGGGCAAATTGAAAGTTTTGTATTAATTCACCTTAAAGGTTTATTTGCGTGGAAGCTGTGTCTTCTTTAATGCAGCATCGGGAAGAGAGTGACCAATTTGCGTGCTCATACCTTTGCACTGTGTGAGTCAATGGGCTTTCAATCGCTTCAACTGAGTGTGTGTGTGTGAAAGTATGGAGATATTCGCTCTCGCGGAGAGATTGCGTGTGGGGGTTTGCTGATGCCGCTTTAATGTTGAAGCGAACGAATTTTGTATGTTTTTTCTCGATTTGTGACTCAACCACACATTTGATGGCATTCATGAAAATGAGGATTACGTCTCTTATGCAAATATACACGTGTTGAGAGGATGACAATATGTGAATGTATTCCTGAGGCGAACAATAGTACAACAAAAGGTTACGCGTAGCCCAAAAATGATTCGCACATCCATACACATGTTTACTTGTTAAAGTCTCAAAAACGAGTAAGCAAATGAACGTCAGAATACACGTGAGTTGAGCCGATCGCAAGAGTGCAAGAGGCGTGCAAAGCTCTTTAATGTATCATTTTTCGAAATTTGGTATAAAATTAAATGGCGCTGACATTTTCTAGCTGGATTTTTGTCGTAATCGTGATGCGCAATTAGGACATTCCAAAAATTAGTTTAGGACTGTAGAACAGAAATTCGACACATGTGTGTAATGTACATAGCACGAAAACTATAAGTTCCTTTTTTTGAATGTGGAATATTAGTAAATTGGCGAAATATGACGGTTTGCGAGTTTGTGTGCTAAGCCACCTTAGCTAAAAAAACTACAAATTATTACCACTACTCACCTCATTATCTTTGTCTGCGTCCTTAATGTGTTGTGCTATAAACCGCACTGCACGTAAAGCTTGCAAAACTTCTGGAGTTAGACGCCGCGGAATTACATTATCCGAATCTATTTGAAAAATTTATCGTATACATTAACAGCGATAATTGAAGGAAAATAATACATGTGTATATTAGTGTAATCTGTGTCGTACAACATACCTATAGATGGCTGAACGCCATTGTCGTAGGTGGCATCTTGACCGTCTTTGTATTCACATGGGTAATCGCTAATGCTGTCTCTGCAAACAAAGCATTAAATATATATATGGTATGCTTTAGTACCGTTTCCCATTTGGCGAACATTTAGGACATTACCTCACATCGATCTCATTGGTATAGCCATTGTACTCCGGATAATTATTAAAATCCGGCATTTCGATAGGTGATCGTTGCATAAACATTATTTTGGGCATGAATGTGATGAAAACAGTACGTACCCAGGGTGACATGTTGTGAGTGGAGGGTGACCTGGGACAAGTTATATGCAAGGTGCGTTATATAAAGGATCGAGTAGATATGCGGAAATAAAAAAGTTATTGTAAAAAATAGACCCAAAAGAGAAGACGAGAGGGAAAGTGAAGGTGGTAAAAGAAATCGATTATAGTGTCAAAATCGGATACTTGAACTTACCGGAAGTGGATATTCAAGACACAGACCGTTGTCCACACAGACAACGATACCAGTATCATTGTGAATAGGAGGTATTTGCCAAGCAGTGGTACGGCCAACGATGTTGGCGGTATAATTTCGGCCAACAGCAAGAAGAACACAGTCAAAGACACAAGAATAGAAATACATAACGTAACCTGTCAACGATATGTAAATCGTACATGTACTTGCGGTCCAGACCATGCCAGCACCAGGACTAGGCATGCTGGCCGCGTACACAAAGTGTGTGAAGTGGTTATGTCCATTACTCTTGTAATACTCATGTTGCATTTTTCAATTAAATTTCCATATTTTCAATTTTCATATATTTATTTTTTTATCGCATTGGCATCTAAACAAAATTGACGACACTGAGGCAGATAGACACACACACATAACATAAGGTGGTGCTTAGCCAACTCAATGTACAGTTATCCACATACTTGTGATGGCAAATACTTAAATAATCGGACATCACAAAATCTCAAATCACATCTTCAAAAAACAAATACATTAACGACAATACTCATTTTAAGGGAATAATGGGTTAATGGGATTCATACATACATACTTATTACTATAAATATATATATAGTAGCCAAAATGTCAAAATACATACATACGTTTACATTGATCTACACCGGAAAACAATAATGTCCCAACATCTAGCAGTTCTACAGGTATATGAATGTGTAAAAAAATCAAGGGGACTTGGTTGACAAATGCCAGGGGATATATTTTAAGTGTTGCCCAAATATGAATGATTATATATGATTGCACTTCAGTAGTCACATACTGTATATATATATATATATATATAGCATTTCCACATTAAATGAAACCTTTTACAAATTAAATGAACCCTTTTCCAAATTAAATTAAACCTTTTCCAAATTAAATGAAACCTTTTCCAAATTAAATGAAACCTTTTCCAAATTAAATGAAACCTTTTCCAATTAAAATGAAACCTTTTACAAATAGAATAAAACTTTTTACAAATGGAATGAAACCTTTTACAAATAGAATGAAACTTTTTCCAAATTAAATGAAACCTTTATTCTTATCCAAGGAAATATAATATTTGCAGTAATTTTAAACAAATATTTGAAAATTAAATCAAAGAATATTAACAAATATAGTTGTATGGCTATGTAATTAACATAAATATTCTTTAATTCGGTGTGGTTTTATTTAATATCTATACTAAATAAAAATAAATAAATAGTAATACAAACTGGGGTATTTCTTGACATTTTAATAAATAAATATTTTAGAACAAGAATTGAATACCCGGTCCTAAATGCGAAACACATATTTGACTTAATAAATTGTTGATGATAAGGTAACTGCTTATCTTAATGAAGGGGTTCCCGACTTGCAGCTTGTGGGATTTTCAAAACCATGTCCATAGCGTAGTTAGAACAATCTTGCCGAGTAAGCTTTTGAATACTTCGCTCGATTACATCAGCAATGTTATGTTCCATTGAAACTTCACACAGCTCAGCTCTTGCACATAATTTTATTTTTGAAAATGGATTTTCGATTGGATTTAGCATTGGAGAATAAGGCGGTAAGAATTTAAGGTTGCATCTTTTGGATTCGATCAAATTTTTTATATCATGTCGCTTGTGTATTTGAGTTCGAGTTCTATATAGAAAGTCAACCTGGAATTACCCTCAAAGCCATAAAAACTAAACTGTTGAGAGCAAATGATATAAATATTTCCACAAGCTGCATAGAATATGGATTACGGAAATTAAAAATTACGTTTAAGATGGCCTCTATTAAAATGGAACGAATGAATGACTCCAGAACATTAGGCTTGAGACAAAAATATGCTCAAGACTTTACAAAATGGATACCCCAACAAGGAGAAAAATTAATATTAATTGATGAGTGTGGATTTAATCTTCACATACGAAGAACCCAAGCCCGTTCAAGACAAGGAACAAGAGCACACATTGTGTTGCCTACGGTCAGAGGTCGTAATGTCACTATAATTGCAGCAATAAACAACGCGGGAGTTGTACATCACACAATCGTTTCTAATTCCAGTGTCAATGCAGACAGATTTAAATTATTTATAGATTTTTTTTTGAGAAAATCAATCCAGAGTTGGAAAATAACGCTCAAATACACAAGCGACATGACATAAAAAAATTGATCGAATCCAAAAGATGCAACCTTAAATTCTTACCGCCTTATTCTCCAATGCTAAATCCAATCGAAAATGCATTTTCAAAAATAAAATTATGTGCAAGAGCTAAGTTGTGTGAAGTTTCAATGGAACATAACATTGCTGATGTAATCGAGCAAAGTATTCAAAAGCTTACTCGGCAAGATTGTTCTAACTACGTCTAACGACGTTTTGAAAATCCCACCAGCTGAAAGTCGGGAACCCCTTCATTAAGATAAGCAGTTACCTTATCATCAACAATTTATTAAGTCAAATATGTGTTTCGCATTTAGGACCGGGTATTCAATTCTTGTTCTAAAATATTTATTTATTAAAATGTCAAGAAATGCCCCAGTTTGTATTAATATTTATTTAGTTTTATGTAGTAAAGATATTAAATAAAATCACACCGAATTAAAGAATATTTATGTTAATTACATAGCCATACAACTATATTTGTTAATATTCTTTGATTTAATTTTCAAATATTGGTTTAAAATTACTGCAAATGTTATATTTCCTTGGATAAGAATAAAGGTTTCATTTAATTTGGAAAAAGTTTCATTCGATTTGTAAAAGGTTTCATTCCATTTGTAAAAAGTTTCATTCTATTTGTAAAAGGTTTCATTTTAATTGGAAAAGGTTTCATTTAATTTGGAAAAGGTTTCATTTAATTTGGAAAAGGTTTCATTTAATTTGGAAAAGGGTTCATTTAATTTGTAAAAGGTTTCATTTAATGTGGAAATGCTATATATATGAATAATGTTCATTCCCCTATTCCAATTCCAATTTTTATCAGAGCTAAATCTTTATAGTATGTCAGACGAATTTAATAGTTTAACTGTAAAAAATTGGAAATAAATCATTTTATGTTTCCTCTAGAGTTGAGGCGTGGCGGCTATACTACATGTTAGTCATTAAATGAATTTCCGCAAAAAACACATTGATTGGAAGATAATCTTAGTACTTCAATAATAAAAGTACAACTCCAATATTTTTCTGAAATTTCTGGTGTTAAGTTATAAAATAAATGTGACATTATTTCTTCGAGAAAAAAAATAATAATAATAAATGGTAGTTCTCAACATCTTGCTTTGTTGCAGTTTTCAAACCGCTACACAGCTTCAGCACTTCAATAATAATAGAATAATTCCAAGATATTTTTCTGAAATTTTTGGTTTTAAATGTGAGGACATTATTTCTACAAAAAAAAATGAATAAACGGAATTTTATAAATAGTATTTGAATTTGAATTCATATTTATGTACACAGCTTGTCACCTTCTATTTCCTGTTCCTCCAACAGAATTGTTTTGTATGGCGGTTTCAGTGATTAAGCTACCAGTAGAAAACCATGTAGGGAAATATGAAATGGAAGTAAGAAATTAAATATGTCTTCAAATTGAAGTACTATATATAAAATTCCGCCTTAACACTTCGAAAAAAATGTCTTCTCGCTTGTTTCCATTTTAACGGCACTGTATGCCAAGATTTGGGGACAGGCTTTATACTGAAGCATCGTTCGATTCTTACGGGGATGATGTTTTCGTAACATGAACATTTTAAGTAGCTAGAATATAAGTCAGTATTTCCCTCATGAGTCAAGTCTTTGTTTTTACTATGCCAGATAAACGCTACTCTATAAATATTGTTAATATGTAATATGCATAATACGTATAGCATTTATGTGTGTTATGTGTGTTAACAACCAATCAACATTTATTTAAGTTTAACATTATGTATGTATGTAAATCTTCCTACAATGGATAGACTGTTTGTTTATGAATGATCCTACATTTCAGGCATGCAATTTATGTATGTATGTATGTAGCATGTGAATGATCCCCCGTTTGAGCCAGCGTTCTATACGGACAAAGTGAAAAATGATCGAGCGGATCCTAAACATGAACAATACACCGATCCAAATCATTATCCATAGCTTACGAATACATTCGATGATATTTACGTTATGAGATTTCTCAAGTCTTGAACTAACACAAAAGTTATATTCGTCCTTGGGACGAACTCACAAAATTAAATCTTATGTGTTAATTTATTGTTGTTGTTGTCGTTTGAATTAGATGAAATATGTTAGTGGAAATAAGAAGCGACAGGATAGCGTACTGGAAGCAGGATTATAGAGACATCAATATTTCGCTAGTTCAAAGGCGTGTGTATGTGTGTGCGCGTGTAAATGTAGTTAGTTAAAAAGGTAATTAATTCGTTAGTAATACATTAATACATTTAGTTCGTAAATGAATACAACAAAAACAAAATCATGCAAAGAAAGACATTTTGTGGGTAGAAGTGAGCAAATTTCAAAATAATAATTTGTTCTTCAATTAACCATCAAACAAACAACTACATTATATATGAAGATACGAGATACTTTTAAAGCCAATCGGACGATGAACTCAGATTAGAAAACTGGCAACATGTGTTGAAATGGAATCGAACGAATGGAAACGTTTACTTGCCTTTTCACCGGAATCACTGGGCAGATAGAAGACCAGCACAGTAAGGAATGTTAGTGCCACACATGGAATTATTAAGTTTACTGTATAGAATAATGTTTTGCGTCGCATTGTTAACTTAAAAGTAATATCTGCAAGAAAAAAATGTCATATGTATTAATATATCGGAACACGTTTACAGTATCTTTTAAATATTGAAATTAAACAAAAACAATTTACAGCGAATCCACTTTCGAAACTAATTTTAAGAAAATAAAAAAGTACACAACCAAAACTGACGTATATATTTCAGTGATTATACAACGTTTGAATCGATAATTGGTGGGTTAGCTTTTAAAACTCTCTGTGAATGCCATTCACGTTGACCAGTATAAACTAGGTGGACGACTCCAAGTCAATCTGAGCGGTGATGACGGCTATGAAATTTATTTGAGCTACCGCATTTTTATGAGAAGCATACCTGAAAAGGGTTCTCTAGTATCAGGATAGTATTCCTCATTTTTAGTTGCAGGAACTTCAAGAATATCCCATTCCACAGATAAATAAAATTCACTTAAATCAATTCCAATTTGCACTAGATTACTTCCAGGAACCTATACAAAAGACACAATAATCTTATAAGTGGCATAGCTCCATGCGAATGAACATAAATACCTGATCCAAATGTTTCAAATCCACTTGAGCCCCATTGTATGTCCATGAGCCGAATTTCATGAAGCAAATCTGCTCATCATATGGAAAGTATTCTACATTCATTTCGCATGATGACTTATAGATTGCAGGTGGCTCCCAAAACACTTCTCCAGTATATTTCAACGTGGCCTTGGTCATTAGTGTTACCTGTACGAAATAAAATATAATAATCTTATTAGAAGCTGGCATTACTTGGAAATACATATAAACGAAATACCTCGTAATTGCCATCCCAATTATTATAGAGTACAATATCCGGCACCCATATATGTTCCGATGGGACATATAGTTGTTCAACACCACCATATTCTTCTGGGTCCCAGCGCAATTTGTAGTCAAACCAGCGCTATGGAATATCAAATGATGTAGGTTCGGTTCACAGATTCAAGAAGAGTACCTAACAGATTAAAGTAGTATATTACCTGTTTCACCCACAAATTTGTGGTCATAACTTGATTTCGAAGATTAACCTCTATCAATTGAGAAAGCTTCAGACCCAACCATACGGTTAAGGTTTCAGTGTTGTTGACAACTGGCCTTATCAAACGGTTGTAATTGCTTAGCAAATCATCATAAAGACGTTTTGTGTTCGGATTGGCCTCGAAGCTCAATGGGGCTGAAAATAAACATCAACCGACATTGTATTATTTAATTAGACATCATAATTTACATATCTATGCAGAATTTATTGTTATCCATAATTCCTATATATTTTTAAGTTGGATTTGTCATTGGTACTCTGCAACGTATCAAATCAAAGGAAATTATAAAATACATCCCAATGATTAACTTTGTCGTAGTAGTTCATCAATTCATATGTCTCTGAGGATTTGTTTGTCCCCCACCCCCATCCGACAATGTTGATAAACAAACAATGGTAAATGTTCATGCGCATGTCACACATATTGACAGTTGAGTTTCTTAAAAAGGGGCGTTTTTTTTCTCAATATAGATTTTTCACAAACTCCCTTTGGCACTTTTTAGTTTTTGTTTTTATGAACGAACATATTCAAACATACCCATAGAAATACTATTCGAAATGCATAATGAGATGATTAGAAGTGAAAATTTCGACATTATTTTAATATTTCTCTCTATTTCAGCCTTGTTCCAAATCAATTTCTGAATTAGTCTTATTTGTTGTTGATCTTTACATATTGCTATGCCTTAGAATGCCTTTTCCGTAGTTGATGCTGGCCCAAGGATTTGGAAACTGCTACTGAGCTGAGCTGAGAGAACGTCTTAAGTATCCTGTCATTATCCTGCGAACGGCTGATGTGAAAATACAACCCTGGTTACTGTTTGAAAATCATTGATGCAAACAACTGAAGACCGTTAGTTACGTGTACGTTGCCAAGCAACCAATAATTTCTTTGATTTGACAAATTTACTGCTTAGAATACATTTTCACACCTCTCATATAAGAACTTACAATGTCATTTCCCTACAAATATAACTACGCTCAATTGGCTCGAGAGTCTGGATTTCAATTACGCATATTCAAAGATGGTCCTTTGGACTGGCGTTTAATGGGTAATTGCACATTTACACATCTTTACGAATTCCCATTCTTATAACAATTATTTCTTACCACAGGTTCTGTCGAGGTAGAGCGGATTGTACGTGAACAATGCCTGGAACAAATAGATTCTGTATTAAATCACTTGTCGGAAGCTCCCTTGGGCTCTATACTTGAAAGCAATATCTTGGATAGCGGTATTGCGAAATATTTCCTCCTATCTCAATTCTCCATACAGTACTTACTATTCTGTCGTAAATTCCTTGAGGAAACCGTGGCCGAACTTAGGGAAAGCCATGGAGCGGCTCAAATTGAAGTTGCTTCCCTAAAAAGATCGCTGGTTGAAGCTAATAACGAAATTCTACAACTGAATAAACGCGTTACTCAGATGGAGGCAATACACGAAGTCATCTATCCCTGTCACTTGTGCACCAAGAACTTCGTAAGCAACGATGCCTTGAATCTCCACATTACACGCAAGCATAGCACACATTTAAATACAAAGACTGATTTACAGTTGCCTTCTGCCAAAGACCGGGAAAACGATATAAGCCTTATAAACACAATCAAATTGGAGTTAGAAATCAAACATTTGAAGGAACGTTTAAATAATGCCGAAAGGAAAATTAAGGACGGTGTTACGACACCAAAATCCCCCAAAAATAGAAACGAGTGCGACAAGCTAGTAACCAACACTGTAACCCATAGTATTGGCATCCAAAGTAATTTAAGCGAAACTAAGGAGCGAGATGAACAAACTGAAGATCCAAGCCTATCCCAATGGGCAGAAACGATTTCCCATTTACATGAAACTCTGATTGGCCTAAATAATTGGAAGGAAGAACAATGTCGTCAACATTTTGAATTTTTAGCCGATATAAACGGAAAGTTGAGAGAACTCACAGAAGTCGTAGAACAACAGAAACCGGAACAAATGGTTTCAGCACCAGAATCGACAAAGCACGTCTTAAATGCTTTATTAGATCGAAAAATGGAAGAAATTGGTAAATTCACACTTGATAGGCTTAGTGATGTTGTTAAAAAATTTGAGGTCAATTATAACGATAAATTAGAAGAACTGGAAAGGGAATTACTAAAGAAGTCAGAACCGACAAGAGTTTCCACACAAGTTAACGCGTCAACGGAGGAGCAAGAAAAGTCAAATAACGACGTCATTGTCACAGATCAACCAAATCAAGGGAAACACCCGAAGGTTGCATACGGCAACGAAGATGATAAAATAAATAAACAACGTCTACTTAAGACTGACAATGATGCTACTAACACGGATTCGGCGTCTGATCAAGAGACCTCTTCGCATAGCAATCAAACCTTTACAAAAATTAAATCAGAAAATCCAGATACTCGTACGTATAATTCTAACCAATTTTTATTGTATCCTAATTTGATTTTAATTTAGATTTCGACCACAAACTTGATACGGATGCGTCCACCGAAGAATCCGAAGAAATATTGGACACAGTAAGCCAAAACATTGCTAATAGCAAAGAACTATTTTTCGAAGGAACGATCAAGTAAGTTGCAAATGTCATATATTTCTAAATTTAAATCTTTTATTTAGTCTTTCAAACTCGGAACATAATAAGCTTGAGGATAAAACAAATAGAAAGCCTCAAATTGTGAAAAAACATGACAAATTGTAAGTATAAATGCTGACCGAAGCCAAGCAGTAGTATTTCCATATATATTATCTTTGTATTTAATTCATTTCCACTTCGGGATTTAAATATCCACAGATCCGTGCTAAAACCTAAAACAGTTACAAGAAGAGAAGCCAAACGACTGTTAAGTTCCAATTTAACGGACATGGGTATAGATAAGCAAGCAACCTATTTAACTGCAACGTCAATGAAGGCGTTGGCAAATGAGCTAAGCGAGAGAAGGCACAAATTAAAGGAGGTAAGAATGACTTACTTTTAGAAATCTTAAATGTATTGGAATTCGAGGAATCGATATTCGTTTTTCTAATCGTTGCAGAAACACCAACATTTCTACCCCACAAGAAATAGAATTAAAAAGTTTGTTGATAGGCTTTGTTCCTCTAAATTGCCTGCAGACGTGAATGCCTTATTAAATGCTACCAAGCCTCAAAAACCATTGAAGAGCTCTTTCAAGCTGGGACATATGGATTACCCGATTTCATCCGACGACGAAGGTACAAATTTATCGGAAAAAACAAATAATACGGCTCCGCAAATCCCAGTGCATTCCGGTCACAATCCAGAGTTTAAAAATAGATTGGAAAGTATTCTAGCATCGCCGATCAGAATTCCCGAGGATATCATAAAAACAAAGACGCGCGACGAGGTTACAAATAGAACACCAGTCCCAATGCCTCGAAAGAAGGTGATGTTTAACCGAAGAGATGTGAATGACACATTGAGTCTAAGCGAAACTGAAAGTCCTTCGTAAATAAACAAATAAATGTGTTGTAAACTAAAATACAATTTTATGGTAATAATTAATGGGTTTCTTTACATTACAGAATATGTAGGCGGGAATCAAATCAACTGTACTTGATGCTTTTGTATTAGATCAGCAATTAGTTGATAGGGTATAATGTGTTGGGAACCAGCAGCCAAATCGACCTCATCATCCACACCAACAACGACGGCAGGCACTACCATGGGTGAGAAAGTAAACACGTCAACGCACTGAACTGATAGGAAACGAACTACTTTAAATTACCTGAGACGTTCGCCTTTACGAACACATGACTCATGAGATTGGGTCGAACAATCCTCTGATCTGCCTCAGAACGCTGCGTATTCGGCATATATTGAAGAGCGACTTGCTGGAAGCATTCCTCCGTATTTTCGTAGTATTCATGGGCAAATTTGGTCTCCTCCGGTGACAGACGTTTCTCTTCGGTACTTCGTGTAGATTCCTCGTTGAGTATGTGCTTTGTATACATTTCAATTTTTTGCAAACGACACCTTAGATAACTGGCCATAACATAACGGATCCGCTCCAATTCCATTTGATGCACCACAAATCGAAAATCGTTCTTGTCCAAGTCTTTCATGTTCTCCTCCATGTGCGCCACTTGACCCATCATCAGTTCCAACATATCACTCTGATGTTGCAATATGTCAGGAGCGCACATCTCGTTGGTCCAAGCCGTTTCGAGAAATTCCAAAACCTTTTGGGCAGTTATCTCCTCACCTTCATCGTCATCATCCTCGTCCGCTGTTCGATTCAAAAAAGCGTCATCACTGGTAGGCTTAGCTGGGTAATCGTCCTCCGACATTGGAATGAGGGTTGAAGTTGGAGTTTAAAAAATGCGCGAACTATCGTGGTTTTCAAAAGATTATAAGATGTAAACAAAGTGGTTTGGTTCAATTGAACTATTCACTGAAAAGAGCGTATAGACCAAGGTCACCCAGCTGGCAAAATTTAGATGTTTTTTCTCAAGTCGATTGTCAAAAAGTTTTACTCAAGATCTATTAATAAGGTCACCAAGATAGCAATCGAAATCGGAAAACAGCTTTTTTTCTCAAGTCTAATGTCAAAAATTTCGACTTTGTTTAAGTTTTCGTAATGGAAGTCAATTCACAATAATGCATTTTGTCAGCAAACTTGAGAGGTATCGATAATCAGCTGGTCTCCCTTGGTGACCTTATTTATAGGCCATGGTTTTACTGTTTGTTCTCATGTCTAATGTCGAAGATTTAGATCCATGGTACAATTATAAAAGGTAACAGCAAATCCCAGCTGATTTGATTCCAACGTAATACTAGTGTCAATATGAATTTGACAAATTATGTTTTTAAAAATCACCCAACAGGAAAATTGGGAACGCATACAATTTTAAATTGTTCTTTATTAAATGTGCTCCCGTATTCAATTTACTCAATCTGCCTGGTGGGAAAGTTTGAGGAAGCAAATCTTTCTTCAAGGAATAGCTCGCTATTCCCAGCATTTTCACTATTATACCATGATTTAGATCAAGATCTATTCATGACCTATAAATAAGGTCACCAAGGGAGACCAGCTGATTATCGATACCTCTCAAGTTTGCTGTCAAAATGCATTATTTTGAATTGACTTCTATTATGAAAACGTAAACAAAGTCGAAATTTTTGACATTAGACTTGAGAAAAAACAGCTGTTTTCCGATTTCGATTGCTATCTTGGTGACCTTATTAATAGATAGAGTAAATTGATATTTGTTGTAGAAATTCGCCGATGAGGCTACCTTGTATATCTACCTTGGGTAGTGCATTTAGCGCAGCTGATGTCTCGATTTACTGTACAAGTGCGTAATTTCATCACCTTGTTATTGCATCATGACCTTATTTATAGGCATTGTTGTTTACGTTTTCATAATGGAAGTCAATTCACAATAATTGATTTTGACAGCAAACATAAGAGGCAGCTGATATCCAGCTGGTCTCACTGTATGCCCTTATTAACAGACCTTGGTATACACCAAGATATATTAATAAATTTATGCCATGTACAGACGAGCGTTGTTCGCTCTCTCATTCGTTGTTCGACCCTTAATTATGAAGGAATTACTTAGTTCCCCATACAAAATTGTCTGAGCGAACACCGACTTTTGTACGTTGTTCAATTCAAATCACTCTCTGAATAACCAATAAATTTGTTCCATCCCTAACAATTGAGAGTATTTATCGAAAATAAATTAATTTTGACAGTTTGAAAATATTTATGAAATTTTCAAACTTTTTCAGTAAAATTCAAAATCATGAATGAAAAGTAAAAAATTGTATAGTTTTTATATATGCAGCAGGATGTAAATTTTGTTTTCTACATAATGCAATATGCATTTCTTTTCCCTTGGTTCTAATTAGCGTACAAAACAAGAAACAAATGTGGGGCAACTCAAACAAAAAATTCTCCAAATTTTTATTTGTGACAGTATGTGACATTTGAATTGAGAAAATATAAAAATGTATTAAAAACAACAACATTTTCAGAAAAAAATGGAAAACATGAATGAAAAGTAAATAGATATGGGTTCATACTATAGTCAGGAGAAAGAGAATTATTTTTTCTATTTAGATCCCTATGTAATTCACTAAAATATGTTACATTTTTGGTGTAAAACAAGAAACAAAAAGTTTGAAATAAAAAACTCTGATGATATGAATTATGAATAGTGTTGTATGAACGGGTTAATTCATGTACGTAATTCTGAGAGCAAACTACGTTGTTCGGATGCCCGTCAGAACATGGCATTAGCCAGCAAGCGAAAATCTGGTGTTTATTTCTATTTTTTTTGGTTTTAAATTACAACAACGTGTTTGACGTTTACTTCTACCAACAGCTGTGCTGATGCGGCTACCTTATTAAATCTGCCTTGCACTACATTCACTTATACTGGACACTATTATCTGAATATTTAAATTATTTTGGAGGTATTAGGCAAAAAAATATTTTGTCATATTTAAATTGTTCATACATTTTCACTCTCTACGTAAGTTACTGAATAATTTTTACTGGAAACGTTATCGGACAAATCTAAAGGAGGACGAACGAACGAAGTGAATGAATGGAGACAAGTTTGAACAGAAAATCATATCTTGCTCAACAACAAGCTACTCGTTTATGCATTATTGTTTTTTTTTTAATTTTAATTTTTAATTTATTTATCTATTTATTTATTTTTTTCTTTTTTTGGTATACACCTCATTAAATCTACATTGGACTGGATAATAGTCGACTTATTTACCCCTTCGTCCACGATTCGTTCACTCGCCACATTCGTAAACAATATGTGCCTCTTGTCATTTTGTTTCGATCTTGATTTTTATCACTCATTCCCTCCTGTCTCCTCCTATTCGCAGCATGTGCTTCTAATGTTAAGTCAGCCAGACAACTAGCAGCCAAACAAACAAAAAATGAATCAAGAAGAGTTCCAAAACAACTATAGAATTATTGTTGAAAAAATATTCAACAACTGGCAGAACCTCAGACTGGCAGTGGAACATGGCATGGGAGGAAGAAATGGACAACAGGTACCACATTGAGTTTACTGGTTACATTTTCTGCGACTAGATTGATAATGTTTGTGCTTTTGACGGCAGGTTGCAATAGACATTATGAACTATACGTACCAATACTGTATTGGAAATGAAAACATAACCGAAGGAGAACTTCAGGATGTTATTGAAGAATTGTTGGATCAGGAATTTGATACAATTTGTGAAGATGGTTCAGTGGCGGAAATATCGCGCCACTTGCTACGCTACAAGTATATGAGTCTTCAGGGCCAATATGCCGAAATAGAAGCTGAGTTGAACAGACTACCACAGGGCAAAGAATGGTTAAGGAAAGACGTGAAGATCACATACACACCCATCGATGGGGATTCTTCGTCTGAAGATGATGACTCTGATTCGACCGACGAAGAGAATGAAATGGAAGTTGACGAGCCGTCCTCTAGTAGTAAGAGAACAACTCGATCGCAGGCACGCAAACAGGAAGATGATTTTGTTGAACCGGAAGAAGGTTGGACCACCGTTAGAAACAAGAGGAAATAATACGAATTGTTGTCGTATACTGACGGTTTAGTAACATTTTCACACCTAGTTATATGTTTGCAAGAAAGAAAAATACATGCATAATTAAGAAAACAAGTTTTTATTTATGTCTTTCAAGTCCATAAAACGCAGTGAATCAATCTGCTCTGTGGCATCTGGTGTACAATGACGACCCGAACAGAAGATACAAATGTCTACAATATTTGAGTGCCCTTTACACGGCGTTCTAATCTTTGGAGCCCCCATAGCATTTTGTAATTCCCTCCAAGACCTTACAGATTTATTTGTTTGTCCTTTCAATATAAGCGATGCGTCAGTGATTGACGAAATATCATCAATGTCTGGCGTAAGGGACATGTTAATTGCAGGGTAAATGAAAAATGCAAAAAACGCTAAACCGACGAGGACTAGCATTGGTAACAACACAGCAAAATATTTGTCTGGCAAATAGGTTAATCCTAACTGCTTGGTGGGCAACAATGCCCATAGAATATAAAATACAAAGAGAGTAATAACTAATAGATAAAAGGAATAGCCGTATATCGCCCTATGAGGAGTCGGTGCTGGTGAATGCTCCGGCATTTTCCAAATCAAAGTTTTTTATTGTCTCCCGGCACAAAAGAAGATTTTCAAAAAATGAGGTGATAGCTGTCCTTAAATTTTTCACCTGGTCAGCGATAAAATGCACTTCCAATATATCTTCCTTTAAAGCAATCTTCTTTGTAACAAAATTTCTTCTTGGCTCTTCGTCTACTCTGAGTACGCGATAAGCAATTTCGGCGTGTCTAGCCGATTCGAATGGAAGTGTAAGGATCCTGAAATATACATAAATAATTAAAAATATATACATACATATGTATGTATTTAGAATCAAATAGACCTACGCTTCGGTATTTTTTACTCCATGTGTCGCGGGTGCATCCTCCACAGGCATCTTAACAGGGTTTGCTTTTTCACTTTGAACAAATAAATCGGAAGTAGTATCCGAAGTAAGTGAGATTTAACAATGTTTATTTAAATCTGAAGTTTATTTCTATCTGAAAGAATTTTTGTAACAAAGTTTATTAATCGGGTTGTTTGCACAAGCTACAATTCAAGATCCATTAATAAGGTCACCAAGGGAGACCAGCTGATTATCGATACCTCTCAAGTTTGCTGTCAAAATGCATTATTGTGAATTGACTTCCATTATGAAAACGTAAAAAAAGTCGAAATTTTTGACATTAGACTTGAGAAAAAACAGCTGTTTTCCGATTTCGATTGCTATCTTGGTGACCTTATTAATAGATCTTGGCATGGCCTATAAATAAGGTCACCAACATGGCCTATAAATAAGGTCACCAAGATAGCAATCGAAATCGGAAAACAGCTGTTTTTTCTCAAGTCTAATGTCAAAAATTTCGACTTTGTTTACGTTTTCATAATAGAATTCAATTCACAATAATGCATTTTGACAGCAAACTTGAGAGGTATCGATAATCAGCTGGTCTCTCTTGGTGACCTTATTTATAGGCCATGGTCACCAAGATAGCAATCGAAATCGGAAAACAGCTGTTTTTTATCAAGTCTAATGTCAAAAATTTCGACTTTGTTTACGTTTTCATAATGGAAGTCAATTCACAATAATGCATTTTGACAGCAAACTTGAGCGGTATCGATAATCAGCTGGTCTCCCTTGGCGACCTTATTTATAGGCCATGCTCCCAAGTTTGCTGTCAAAATGCATTATTGTGAATTGACTCCCATTATGAAAACGTAAACAAAGTCGAAATCATGGCCTATAAATAAGGTCACCCAGGGAGACCAGCTGGAAATCGATACCTCTCAAGTTTGCTGTCAAAATGCATTATTGTGAATTGTCTCCCATTATGAAAACGTAAACAAAGTCAAAATTTTTGATATTAGACATGAGAAAAACAGCTGTTTTCCGATTTCGATTGCTACCTTGGTGACCTTATTAATAGATCTAGCTTTCAGTTTTGACAAGGGGCAGATTTAATAATGTAACTGCAAAAACACAGCCTTTGGTACAATTAAATGTCAAAAATATTGTTACAATGTAAAAAAAAAATCGACACATAATTACAAAAGAAACCACTGCATTTTAAATAGCTTGTTCATTTATTAACATTTTCTAAATGAATCTTACCGAAATACGTCGAGGAGCGAATTTTCAAATTTAAGATATATTTAGCTCCGAAATGCAACGAACATTAAAAATATTTTTAACTCTGGTGATCAACCGCATGCAGGCTTAGTGACATTGTAGTCCAATCTCGTGGTCCATCCACTTCGATGTTGCTTTTGAAGACTGAAAAGTCTGTTGGATGGTTGGACCAAAGCCTGTGTTTCTCAAGTTTACTGTCAAAATCCATTATAGTGAATTTTTGATACTAGACTTTAACAAGCTGACCTTCGCTTGCTGGGTGCAATATCCAATATTTTCATATGCCTTAAGCGGTGTACACACTAGCACTTTTGTATGACACTCTTGACCAATTTTTTTTTGTTAAAGTGGCCTTTCATTTCCGTCACACATCGGGCAAACACAAAAATATTCAAGGGTTTTGGACAGTTCGTAATCGACTAAAGAATTGACAGTCAAAAGTGAAAGTGTGTACATCTCTTAGGACTTGAAAATTCCCAAAGGTTGTTGCGTACCGCCTACTGCGGCTCCTGGTGGGGTTCCAACCAGCTCAGTCGGGGCACCGCTTTAGGGGTGAATTCCCAACCCTACCACCATCAGCCCTAGGGGTCGAACAATCAAGAAGGAACACGAAAATAGAACAAAAAAACAACAATACACATACGACCATAACGAGGGAATTTGGTGTCAATTATTCCCGCACTTCGCCCGCCCAACCTTGACCCTTCTCGTCCTCATAAACACTTAATTTTAAAGGGCCCCTGTTTCCACACACACTCACCTTACTGCAACATCGTCCAATCTTCCTCCCTTACAGAAAACAATTAGCAATTCATATTAATCTAAACATTCACACATAAATAATATTTATTAATTTCATTATTTCTTGATTACTTAAATCTAACATAAACACATAGCCAATATTCTGAATTCCTAACACCTAAAGCTATCGATACGTCACTGTTTCAGACTACCCACGCAATCTATTGAAACGGCTCCTTCTGGCCACTCTATTATATTATTACCTCACCTAAAAGAGCTCTCTTAAGTCGTTATTGGGGAGATTACCATTCGATCCCAAAATAGGCAAAAACACTAATTCCAATCAGATATTTGGGGTAACCCTACACTTGTCGCATTTGTTAGGCGTTAAAAATTCTCACAATTTCAAATCTTAGATATTAATCACTAAATACTAACACATAACACACTTAATCTAACACTTAAAATTTAGTAAATATATTTTTGTTTGGTTTTTTTTTTTTTAAATTTTTTGTCATTTGGTGATTTGCTTGTTTTTAATTTGGTCTTTGATTACTAATTCATTTTTTTGTTTCACTTTCAGATCTCTCAGGCTATTGGCATTTGTATCTCAATTTTAAATTTCGACAAAGGTTACCTGGTTTCCAGATACTTATTTTCCAGGATCATTTTGGACGGACAGACAAATCAATTTATTGGCCAACTGCATCCAAGCTTGCGTTGACGTGCTGTCTTCACTTTGGGCTTAACCGTCTTCCAGCCAATTATTCTACGGCTAAAACCATGTCACATAAATGTTTTGCCGAATAAGCCCCAAAAAAAAATCGGATGACCTCCTCCGTGCAACGACTTGGAGGGGTCAATGCTTGCTTTATTGGTTGATGAAGTTGTTGGCGTATCTATGCAAAACACAAACATTTAAACACATAAAATATTACCAAATTACACAAACATACTTTATTTTGCTCGCTCACAGGCATAAGGCACTCAACAATAAAAATCAAGTCTTAATAAATTTTTGGGAATTTTTTTGTTTAATTTGGGGATTTTGGTTTGTTTTTTGTTTTATAAAAATTGTTACCAAAAGTATTGTCTCTTGACAAAACACCAAATAATTTTGATCGAATTTCCCCCCCCGTTATGCCTTTTATACCCCCGCAGCCAGATGCCATTTTCCCACTTTTCTGGGATTCTCGCGCATTTTCCGACATTTATCATTTTTCCTTTATCTCACCTCTTGATCCCTACATCTCGACAGGGTTGTATTTGCCAGGCCTAAATTTCAGACCAGATGGCAACGCATGAATTTCTCAACCGCTGTACTGAGCTTACTGTATCCGGCTCACTTTTTTCTGGCCGGCAGCAGCAAACACATCATCTCGGGTAATTGCTGCCGGTTGTGTTTTTTTTATTTTATTTTTATTTTTTTATTTTTATACAAAAAATTATTTTCACATGCAACAAGGTGTCAGTCACATTTTTTTGTTTACGTTTTCACACGAATAAGTCAAAGATGAAAGCATTTTGACAGCTCGGGTGAAAATATTTGGCCGTATCGGACGACCTTATTATTGGGTCAGACAAAAATCGATTGATTAGTTAAAAGTCGACTTAACTATCCCTATTCCAAAATAGAAAAATATTGATGCTCATTTAAATCGTTTACTTTTTGGAAAATTAAATTTTGGGAGAATTAAATTGTCAATGACATGGCAGACGATGCTAATGAAGATAGCTGGTTATATGGAACGTCAAATCCCGATTCCACAACAAATGAGGAAGAACGCAGTGAAAGTGTGACTGATGGAGATGCCGGCTTTCAAAAAGACAACATACAACTCACCTCGAAGTCGGAAAACGAGGCATTAGCTGCAGTCATTCAAGGAGATGACGTTAACAGATCTCAACACAAAGATGATGAGCCTACCGAGGAAGCCGATTTGGTGGAATTTGAAGATCCTGCACATGAAATGGAGGAGGACGAGGAAGCAACAGCAGCAGCGACTGCTGACACAACAGAAGTTGGCGAAAAGCAAGAGATGAGAGAAAAATCTGGCGAGGACTCGGAGAATGAAGCAGAAGATGACGATGATGAGGAGGACGACGACGATGATTCTGATGACGATATAAATGTCGTAATTGGCGATATTAAAGCGGCACCTAGCACTTTTAATATAAAGCAACGATCAAATTTATTGGCGGCAACGTCAGGCCAGGAAAAAATAAAGACTACTGCGCAGGTGGGAAAGTTCTCTATTGAAGATTTCGAAGGGGCAGGTACAATAAATGGCGTAGCTGCCCATGAATTTAGCATAGATTCACTGGAGGACAAGCCTTGGAGAAAACCTGGTGCTGACATCACTGATTATTTTAACTACGGCTTCAATGAGGAAACTTGGAGAGCTTACTGCGAACGCCAGAAAAGGTTTAGGGTGGTTGAAAGTGGTGTAGGCTTAGCCAGTTTAACACAGAATCTTAATCCACCCGGTGAAAAGGCGAGTGACGGAAATATTCCAATTGCCGGACAACAACCGGCAATGGCACCGCCAGGTCATACGCCTCCCGGGCATTTAGATCACATGCAAATGCCTCCGCCTGGAATGATGCCACCTCCGGGACCACATCAAGGTCCTCCTACGAGGTTTGGAATGCCGCGTGGGCCCAGACCCATTTTACCCATTCCAGGTGCAAAAGAAAACGCTATACAAGTGATGACAGCGGAATGTAGGGAATATTCAAGAACCGGTCAAATGCCACCAAATTTTGCAGGGCCTGGGGGAGGAGAAGAACAGTTTTTCCATGAACCTGAGCCTTTCGACTACGGCTACGAACCTACTCAAGACTCACAATGGGGAAGGGAAAATCCAAACTGGGTACCAACTGGTATTAAAGAACTTACTCCAGGACCTAATCCGGTACAAACGCCACCACAACAGATGCCAGGTCCCCCAGGTATGTTACCAAATCCTATGGGCGTACCGCCACCTCAAATGTCCGGTCCTCCTCCACAAATGCGACATCCCCAACAAGGTATGATGCCACCACCAAATATGGGTATGGTTCCACCACCAATGGGTATGATGATGGGTCCTGGTGGCCCACCAATGAGAATGCCAATGGGGCCACCGAGAATGATGGGTCCAAACGGACCCCCACCGGATCGTATGGAGGACGACAGAGAAAGAAGGCGACGCGAAAGGGAATGGGAGCGAGAGAGAGACAGAGATAGAGAAAGGTACAAAATCAAAACTAAGAGGAACATATGAACATTTTCCCCTTATTTACAGATCCAGGAGGGAACGGTCAAGAAGTCGTGAAAAATCCCGTCGTAGATCCAAATCTAGGGAGAAGGATCGTGAAAAAGATAGGGAAAGGGAGCGCGACAGAGACAGGGGTGATCGTGAAAGAGATAGAGATCGTAATGATAAAGATGTAAGTTGTGGTTTTATTCCTTTTTATTTATTACTATTTACTAATCGTGTTTTCATCCCATAGGACACTGAACGTTCCGATGAAGAACGTGAAAGGAGAAGAAGGGATCGAGATAGAGATCGTGAGCGAGATAGAGATCGTGAAAGGTAATCGTTTACATAACATTTTATAATACTAAAATAACATTGATATTTTCTAATATTAGAACACGACGAGAACGATCAAGAAGTCGGGAGAAATCTCGACGTCGATCCAAGTCCCGTGAAAAGGAACGGGATCGTTCTGGTAAATCTGCTACAACAACGACATCGTCATCATCCTCATCAAGCCGCAGTGATAAGAAAAAATCTCATCGCAAGGAGGAAGAAGAATAAGCATGCATAATAAATAATTATTGTAAAAAATTATCACATTGAAAATATATTCAAAATTTATATAAAGTAGATTCAAACAATGGTTATGAGGAATATACAAACCAAAGGAAGTTAATTCCATATATTAAATGCTATGCACACCACGGAAAATAAATTGTTTACCACTTTGTTTTTAATAAGAAATCGTGATCCACTACAATAAAAATCGCTTATAGTGACGGTCAAGAGACCGACAGAAAACAAGAGAACTATATTTGGCCCAACGTAAAAGATAAACAAAATCCGTTTAAATATAATAAAATCAAATATTTACTTTTGTATAAGCATACTGAAACAAAATGCAAATGTTATCAGAAATAAACCGACAACACTACTGTAAAATGTAAAATTAATAACACTTGTTCTAAAAATCATTTTACATTGAATTTTTTTGACAAAATTACCATATGGATTTGTGACCTATAGGTGGTTTAGAGTGGAATCTTTCCGAAAAGAATTAAAAATTAACCTTTTGAGTGTGCGGATATTAAAAACTTTGAGCAATTTGACGAGGTCATCCAGGATGAAAATGCTTAAGAACGACCGCCAATGATATTAGAAACTCGCCTCCATTAACGGCGTACTCTGATATTTTGTGTGAGGATGAGTTTCCAAAAAATAAAATAAAAAATTTGGACAATTATCGAGGAATAGCTACAAAAAATGTAACAAATCGAGAAATATTATTCTAAAAATGTCGTTTGAATACCTTATGTACGACCTGTCGCGTGAACATTTTCCTCTTAGCGGGTATTCAATAAAACTTCGTAAACATCACGACTTGAATAATCCATTCAATCTCTAAACAATGGAGTTTAAAAAAACGATATCGCTTAATTCAATGAGTCAGCCATCTATTAGTCGGTGTGTTCATCGTGTCACGAATGCAATTAATAACACACTATTTTGTTCGATAACACTGTGATACAAAACAAAACAATTTTTTTAGGGGTTCTAATGTACCAATTCTGTTTAGTTGGAGTCCCTGGACCACGAATATCCCTTTGGTTTTTCTGGGTCACTTCGAAAATTAGTTTTATAACGGTAAATGTAGAGAAGAACGTGGTTCCATAGATTTTCACTTTGAAACGCATATAACTTCTTTTCTTTCTAACATATTTATATTATTCTTTTTTTCATTCAAAGAGTAGAATTTTTTTCTTTCAAACAGGATATATATTTGGTAAATCGGTTGAGAATTGGCTGAGTTACAGTGGTTGAAATGTGAAAAAATACGCATAAAATGACAAAATTTATATTTCTTCGGTCTTTACGAAGAAATTATGATATTAAGCCCTATAAGTTTTATTATATTACGGGGAAGACAATTAAATAAGCTTTCGAAAATGAGAAAAATCGAAAAAATCGGTTTAAAAATGGACCCATATTCTCTAAAGGAAATATGGATCTATCTCATTTTCTTTTGTCTGTTACAAAAATAATGTGGAAACGAGGGAACGAGATAGACCCATTGTTCCTTTAGAGAATATGCATAAAATCAATACAAAAATGCATAAAAAAATAATAATAATACATAAATAAACTATTAAACAATGGTATTTTGTACTGGATCCTGTTCGATAACTTTTACAGTAAATATATTGTGTTGTTTTTACCGGAGACGTTGTAGAACATGCTTAGTGTTTACTTGAACAATATTTAATGAATTGCATTTACTGTATATCACTTCTCAATATTCCTTAATTTTCAAGTTATCAGCGAATCCATTTTTATTAATGGGAATTGGATTTTTCCCATCTTCACAATTTTTACATTCTTTTTTTAATATAAAAGAGATTTTTTTCATTTAAAATATAAAAGAATCCTAGCACAGCAACTTGAGGTTTTAATCTTGTAATATATTAAAACGCTAACCGCAGGGTGTATATATATTTATATATTATCCGCCCGTATTGTTATTGATTTGAGATTCATCGTATTTTATACATTTCCGAGCAATTATTTTCATTTCTTTAAGATCAATTGAGCATAGGATTTATAAATGATGGACATGGCAACAGTAACAAAATCAAAATGTGTATGTATGTGTATGACAATAAGAATACTTATTGTAATTTGTCTGGATATTTATGCCCAAAGTAATATCGTGACTTCAAAGGTCTTGGGTAACAAAAAATACACGCACAGACACATTCCCAATCGAGATGTCAATTAAAAATGTATACGGGGTCTGGGAATGGTCATATGGACGCTTATAAATACTATTCATATGTCAGCATAAATGCAAGGCGGCGGCGAATATATGCTGGTATGACCGTGAGTGTATCGAAATATGGTGGACAATATGTTTAATTCTTTTCCATTTATTTGTATCAGGTGACTACCGTCTGAGGTCTATTTATTAGGGAAATAATAAATACATATTAGTATTCGTTATCTACTAATTTAAATGGACAATTGAATCTAAAGATAACAAAGTTATCATCTCTTGCATATAGTCTATTAAAATATCCCCGTATACTTGACAGACATGTGTGCGAACCTTGGACCCCTGAAAATACAAATAGAGCTATTTGTTGTCTTATTGATTAAAATGGCCTTTCCATAGGGCTATAAAATTTAATTTAATCAATGGAAACTTCGATAAGTGAACGGTTTGTCATCACTATACCCCCTTATTAAAGCTCTTTAATTGTAGAAAAAGACTAAAGTTGTCAGCTTATCTATTAAATTACGAGAAATACGACCTATTTTAAGGTTACTCTGTTATTAGCCAAACAGCTTTATGTAATTGTACATATGGCAATATTAAAGTTGAACCTTTCCCCTAAGGTTGGAATAAATCGATAAGAATTAGTATCCATATCTAAGATAATATTTTTCAAGATAATTTTTCGTCAAACTAAAAGCGATATTTTTGATTTGGCAAGACATTCGTCAGCAATAATTATTTATGGTAATAGTTATATATATATATATATATATATATAATGGAACAACTTAAATTGAAACATTTTTGGATTTGCATATAAAAATGCATTTACCCATGCATGGTGAGCAGTTAGGTCACTCTAAAGAAGTACAATGTATGTTCGATTTTTAACACACATCAAATGAAATTTATGCTTTCAAACGGCTGGCAAAATAAACGTACATTGTTTTTAAGACTTGTAACTTAGCACATATGTGCTAAAAGACTTAAATTATAAAAAAATTAATTGAAATAATTTTGTTATTGTTGTTTCTGTAACTAAAAAAGTCCTTCTTTTCGACAGCGGTAATGATTTTCGATCACTGGAACGTCCAAACCCAAAAATTCGAACGGGATTCGAAAGATTACATGTCTGTTTCTGCTGCGAACTTGGATTATTAACATCGCACAAATATTGACAAAATGACGGTACTATAAAACTTTATTTTTGGATAATGTCAAATTTTTGGGACCGATTACATTACACTGTATCTGTATAGTTTTTCATTTTCACTTTTAAAGGGACGTTCTTGATTTAAATTCTATTATTTTGAAACCGAGGCTGGGGATTCCCCCTAAATAATAAATTCTTTAAAACTCCTTGTACATTAGAACTTTTTACCGGGTTAACCTACTTTATGAGGATTTATTTGACATATATGCAAAGGAAATGACAATTGAAACCCACTGGGTTAACGAAATCCGTTAACGAAAATGTAAACGTACTATAATATTCTTGTATTTTTTTTTTTTTTTTTTTGAATTCAAAACGTTTTAACATGTATATAAACTATATCTTTTTAATTATTTCTTTCTATTTCCTCTTACTATATATCTCAACTTTTAAAGATTGATTAAAACAAAAAAAATTGATTAACAAAAAGTCCATAATCGAATTGTTGTCTCCAGATAATTATGTCAATTAATTTTTCAAAGTAAGTTTGTAGCAAATGTTTCGAACCACACTGTATATCTAGTAAAACTCACAGATAAGAGAGTCACATCTCACCACCACCACAATTCATCAGAAAAGAGAGAGTCCGCGGGTATAAAAACGCGTTGAGGTGGTGGTTAGAGCATTATTCGGTTGTCGCTCTTCAAAGGGTCGGTGTGTTATTCGTTTCCTCAACAACTCAAATCAAATCTCTCTAAAATGGCCTGCTGGGAAGGAAAGAAATACAAATTGGACAAAAGCGAAAACTTCGATGAATACATGAAGGAATTGGGTAAGTGGTGCTCTGTTCACATGACTCATGAAGAAAGGAAGTTGTTATCAGAGTCCATGTCTCGGCAGTTACATTTGGAAAAGTTTCTTGTCATTTTTTAAGCGTTAGTGCAAACATATACATACATATGGACATTATTCGATATTTGTGAAAAAAGGTACAGCTTCTTATTCTCCACCTCATTTCTGAGTTAGCACACCAGCCGGCCGGCCGGCATTCGTGGTAATTAAAAATCAAATACTAAACCGGTTTTATGCCGCTCTTCGGACGCTACACGAACCGTAAAATACCTATTATTAATGGAATGGATTATATGTTATAGCGTGACACAACATGGGTCGGCAATGATTTCTGGTCTATTGCCAAGAAAGTGAACACTTATCATCTATGACAATAGCCAAAATAAATTTGGATAATGCTAGATACTAAATTGATTTCGGTACAAAGTTCATGGACTAATTGTTTGGCTACCATCCATGTCCATTGTGTAAATTGTTCTTTGCACCAAAGTCCAAATCAAAGGTACAAACATATGTCTGTGCATTTAATGGCTGTTTGTTTCGTTCGCTGGTGGCCGGCAAATAGAGCTTTCTATCGCTTATCACAAACAAAAATATATTCGTTTTGCAGTTCGCTTGTTTTGGACTTTGGTTTTTTTTTTTGTTTGTGCTGCATGCATGCATACATACGTATATTTGAAGATGTCCAGGAATATCACCCCAAAAAAAATAATTTATAAAACATATTTTCTCCAAACACTAATACACACATCAATATATATATATATATATGAACACGACGACAAGTCAAGTTCCTTATCTAAATTAGAGTATGACATTTGCACCAAAATATATACGATGTGCAAGTGGAATTGTTTTTTTTTTTTTTTTGATATGTCAAAACTTTATGGTGCCACCAAGTGCAAATGTGGATAAACATGTCGTTTGTGCGGTTTTCGGAACATTACAATAACGTTTCAAATGTCTTAGAATCAATTGAAGCCAATTACATTTTTTCTTTCTGATCATAATTGAGTTCCTCTCAATTTATTTATGAAAAAAAAAATTCCCACCTTAGTCGTCTTTTTGTATTTTTTTCGTACATGGCACCGTCACACTATGATCATGTCATATTCCCATTGTGGCGTGTACAATTGCTGCCCGTATGTCAACGACAATAAGTCGACTTGCTGCAAACACCATTTGTACGTAGTAGTGGATGGCTGATTTATGTATGAGTACTTCATGGATCTTCCTCATCATGTTTAATTTGTTTAAATTTAATAAATTGATGACAACCGGTCAAAAGAATCATGACATTCCCGCTCCACTTCAAAATTCTTTGAATAATTCAACAGTATAAATGCGCGCAGACTGCGTATCAACTGTACTTTTGCTGTACTATGGGGAGGAATTTGCAATCTCAGTGCTTTCGTTGTAAAAAGAAACAGAAAAAGAAAAATTGACTCATTTTATTGACTTTTTGAAGATAACCGCATACACCACAACTTGTTGGGTTTCTTTGCATGGGTACCATCGATATATTGACGCGACCCTCCTTCTGCATGGTAATCATTTAATCATGTACATATTTTTGGTTTTCAGCTTTATTTTTAATCGTACAAACAACACGCACGGTTCAATAGTTTGCACACCACCTCCAACCATTGTTCTTTAAATAACTTGTTCTTAAAAGGAGTTGTTGGTTTATGACATTTTGCCAACATTCTACACCTAACCGATGATACTTCACAAACTGTCACCATTAATTAAAATGACCTCCATTTCAATTAGGTAGACAGGAAATGCATATCTATTGTCTATGAATTCGTATTTGTCGTATGAAAAAGTAATACATGTAACGACATGCGTTACAATGACTATAAATTGCGGGGATATATTAGAACGATTGTTTTCCTTTTCTTTTGTGCCAATTTTTTAAATTCCTTACTTTATTTTGCAGGTGTCGGTATGGTCCTCCGCAAGATGGGCAACACCGTTACCCCCACCGTTGAATTGAAGAAGGAAGGTGATATGTACACTTTCACCACCACCTCAACCTTCAAGACTTCCAGCATTTCTTTCAAGTTGGGCGAGGAATTCGATGAAGAAACTTTGGATGGCCGCAAAGTCAAGTCCGTTTGCACCATGGAGGGCAACACTTTGACTCAAGAACAAAAGGGTGACAAACCATCCACCATTGTTCGTGAGTTCTCCGACAGTGAATTAATCACCGTAAGTACTCCATTCAACATTTTTGAGGTTTAAAACTTAATTCTTTGCTTTACTTTTTTTTGGCAGACCCTCACCATCGGTGATGTGAAATCCGTTCGTGTCTACAAGGCTATTTAAATCACCAACTTGAATCTGTCCTTTAGCGGAATGTAGACTCCTTGGCGACTGAATTCATTACCATCTGTTTTTGTTTAAGCTTCAACTAACCATTGTTATTACATAACAATATTTTTTGTATTTAAGATCATTGTAAAATAAATGATTGCATTTAATAACATGCCGAAATAACTATTTAAAACTTGGTTTTATAAATAAACGCATTAGTTGCTATATAACGAAATAAATCGATTTGTTTCAATTGTGTACGACCCTTATAGTACGTTTACATTTAACCGGATTTCGGTAACCCACTAGGCTTCAATTGCCAATTCCTTTGCATATATGTCAAATAAATCCTCATAAAGTAGGTTAACCCGGTAAAAAGTTCTAATGTATATGCCGTTTTAGCATCTAATATCGGTATTTACAACAACTACTGTATAGATTTTTCTACATTCTTCCATTTCCTCTTTCATTTTCTATTTTGTTATTGACGTACAATTCTTGTTAAACGTCATCATGGATGATCGCTTAATTCCTCTTTCTTTGTTCACTCAATGTAAGTTTGTATGTGTGTGTTGCATTGGTAGATTGTTCGTAATCCAAATGTTACCAGATCGTCTAGAAACTTCTGTAGCGACAGGCAGGGCTCTTATAAATAGAGGGAATGGCAAGGCAGTTAGTCAGTTGTGAATCAGATCGCGAATTGAAACCGTCAAGTAACGTAAAGCTGTAAAGTAACGTGCAAAGTAAAGTGTGTCAATAAACTCATTGTAATAATCGTAATCAGAAAGAACCCGCGTTTTATTTAGTACGAACTGTGCTGGGAAATAAAACCACGTCTACACGGGATTAAGTAAAATCCAAGAACGTAACAATATAATGAAATTAAATTCCAGTATGACAATTTGTGTCGTTTTCATTTGTAATTTCAAACTGATTTGGACTCGTATGCGTCATTCATCATAAGGGAATTCGACAAGTTATCGTACATACCTAATACATTTGTAAGTAACTCTACAATCGCCATCAAATGAAATCATTTGGTTCCTAGTGTACTAGTGTATTGTGTGAAAACGATAGGCCATATACGGTTTATAGTAGGTAGAAATGTCATGAAGACTGAACATTTATGTTTTGGAGACAGGGGGTGAGAATATTTCTAATCATGCGCTATCACCACTTATATTAGTGGTTCGTTTATAAAAAAGTTACCAGTTTCCATCGTCGGTCAAGTGCAAATTGTTTTAATTGTTTAAGTTATATTATTCATGAAAATTAGAATTTATGCGATTTGCTATCGAATTCTGTGTGCATTTTATTCAAGATAAAGTGTCCTACCTGGAGTAAAATCATGCCACAAATTTACAATTTTCAATGCGTTCGTTCTATGATTTAAAGCAACAGTAATTATCGCTATCGATAAATACATATGAAAAGTTTTGTGTAATAGTAACAGAGTAAAATTGTTGTTGAGCAAATATCGCTCATTTGCTGCAAAACCGGCTTAAATCGAAAAATTGATTTGCAAAAAATGCCGGCTCACAGCTTACAAGGCACAAAGGAACTTCTACAGCAGCTTCTCAATCGGAGTGTGTAAGAGATATATATCTGCATTCTTTACACAACATGAAGTCTGATATAGAGAAAAAGTCTGCATCGTTAAATCAAAAATCACGATTTTTGATTTATGCCGGTCTTGCAGGAAATAAGCGATATAAGCAGTAAATAATTTTAGCGTATTGTATTGTGTGTGTGTGCGTGAACAAGTTGTAAGTTACCTATTGTGAATTGCATGATGCGCGAGTTGGAACGTAGACAAACAATCGATTCTATTCCTTTTTGATTGTATTTTCGTTTTTTTTACTTCGATTAAAGGAACCGCCTGAAAGTATGCTAGTTGTATGTGCCATATCAACAAAAAAAGATAAACCACCGTTAGATAACATTTTTACATAACATTCATGAATTTGAAGATTTGTCTGGAATAATCATTAAATTTCTTACTTTCGAGTCCGTGGTGCCAGACCAAATCTTTTTTTTGTATTGCAGTTACCGCACGCAATGAGTACAAGGGCAGATTTTAACAATCCATTTAAACAGAGGTCTTGGATGATTGAACATGGTGCTGCGTCAACAGCCACCGGAGGAGGCCTTAAAGGTATTATAGCGGGAGGAATAACAGGTGGAATTGAAATTTGTATAACATATCCAACAGAATATGTCAAAACTCAACTGCAGTTAGATGAAAAGGGTAAGTGCGAATAGAAAACTGACTAACTTCGCCGGTGAAATGCATATTACATTAATTTAGGCACGCGAAAGAAATACAAAGGCATCATGGACTGTGTCCATCAGACAGTCAGCCAGAGAGGCGTAACTGGTCTTTATCGGGGTCTAAGTGTCCTAATATATGGCAGCATACCAAAATCGGCAGCTAGGTTTGTATGTAACATTGTATGACTTTTAATGTAAATATTCGCAATGGTTCATAGATTTGGAGCCTTTGAAAGTCTCAAAAACGTCATGAAGAATGACCAGGGACAATTGAATAGTAGTGCCAAGCTTTTGAGCGGATTAGGTGCAGGCGTATGCGAAGCTGTATTCGCTGTGACACCAATGGAAACCATAAAAGTCAAATTCATTAATGACCAGCGTAGTCCTAATCCCCAATACAAGGGTTTTGCCCATGGCGTTGGCTGCATTATAAAGGCAGAAGGTATGTATAATATGTAATTAATCCCCTGCAACTAACACAATATATACTTTCACAGGAATCGGTGGAATTTACAAAGGCTTAACCGCAACGATTCTTAAACAGGGATCTAATCAAGCAATCCGTTTTTATGTTCTCCTCTCGTTGAAAGACCTTTACACGGGGAACAATAACAATAAATCGGTGCCAAAGCCTCTGGTAGGTATTTTTGGGGCCATTGCCGGGGCTGCCTCAGTATTTTGCAATACACCTTTGGATGTCGTGAAAACTCGAATGCAAGGACTTGAAGCATCAAAATATAGCAATACATTTGATTGTGCAGTTAAAATCCTGAAAAATGAAGGACTATCAGCATTTTACAAAGGAACTGTACCTCGCTTGGGTCGAGTTTGTTTAGATGTCGGCATCACTTTTATGATATACGACTCATTCATGGACTTATTTAATAAGCTTTTTACCAAACTCTAAAATCCAACGGCACGAACTCACCTGAACTCGAATCGATCTATCCTATTTTAATATCCATATATTTGAAATATTTTTGTATTACTCAATTATGCCATTGTGTGTATGCTATGCATTTACAGTGTAAGGTTCTTTCAGAAAATATATACACAACTATAAGTTATGATAAATATTTTGCCGGTAAGTTTTTTATTTACTCACTTATATTGAGTAAAAGAATAATATGCAGCATAAAATAATTGTTTGGATATTCAATATATAGAAGAACTCATGGTACAATAATAAAAGATAGGATAACAACAAGTGGTTGTGTTTATTTGAAATCTTTTCAATACATATTTAAAAACGCGAACAATTCATCATACCATGGTATTATTATGGTTATATTGAAATTGCCAATGAAGTTCATGGTATGTTCGAAGACGACGCCTATAGTTTTCTCCGGAGTCTAATGATATTTATTGGAAAATCTTATAAAACCCAAAGTTATACGGGGGTAATTGGAATGTCAGTTTTGAATGAACAAGACTGTTATGTTAAAAATTACAAAATTTGTTGGCCTTTATATAAAATTAATTCTATAGATTGAAGATGTCGGGTCACACTAGACGGTGCAAATACCTCGAAATATTAGCCATACTTGAAATATAGATCCGCAGAAAGTCAAAGTTCAGTGGTAGTTGTGTAGGTTTCCATATACTGCTCCGCTCACTTGTTTTTACTATGTAAGTTCTTCTGTGAGAGCATCTGTCTGTTTTTTACTTTTTTTGTAAAATAAATAGTTGGAATATATTAGGGTCTTCACTTTAAATAATATATGTATAGGGTAAACGCACCTAATTCCGGCATGTACCATTAGTCGGCATCTGTTTTATATAACTTCAAATAACTAAAAAATCCTATAACTAAATATGAAAAACACCTTGAAATATCTTCAATAACACTGCAATCTATCTCTGTATAAAATATAATCGAGGTAGGTACATTTATTCAGTCAGAATTTGGAATTCGGTCAATGAGGTTTGTCAACACTAGCGATAATTCATGTTTCTTAAGAAAAAATTAGTGGGCTTGTCGATTTCAAAAGACTTGTAACTATATTAAAATTATATATTTTTCACAAGGATCTTGTTCGTAATTGTAAAGAACATAAAGGAGAATAATTTAGAATTTAAAATCATTAAAAAAATATTTGTAATTATGATATTTTTATCGATGCCGTCCTTAGGAACAGCATTGTTAAGGTGTTCCAATAGTCGGCATATGGGTGAATAATAAGCACCTTTTCGAACATGTTAGCTCAAAATTGGAAAAAAATGTTGAATAAGTGCTCTAAATAACAAATAAATTATAAAAATCAATTTTTAGTGGTTCTTAATTTGTTTACCTCTGAAATGCCATATTATTTCACCATGCCGAGAATTTTTAGTGGTTCTTAAATTTTTTTACCTCTGAAATGCCATATTATTTCACCATGCCGAGAATTGGTTCCTGAAGTCGGCACCATGTTTTATAATTGCAATATTTTTTGAATAAAATTATTATATATAATTTTTTAATACAATACTGATGGAAACGCTCGATAATAAAAATTTATTAATTAAAATAGCAGAAAAAATAATTAAATAATTAATTTTTGTTTAACTAAAATACTACATGCCGAATATTGGAACATGACAATAGTCGGCATGTAGTATTTTAATACAAATTAATTATAAAAATTTTTATTGCATCGGGGAGTAAACAAAATTTGGAAACATATGAACCTAAATACAAAATAGTGAACAAAATGCTCGGGATGGTGAAATGTTTAAATTCCTTAAAGTGCTGACTATTGGTGCACTTACCCTATATATAACAAACATTAACATTCAAATTTTTACTAAGTAAATTTTACCAGTAAGAATTTTTCAATCTCAGTACACAACTGCTAAAATGTATCTCTCAACTTACTCTCATTTACTGTACTTTTTACTGTCGATTTTTTCATCGACAATACCCTGAAGTCTCGCTTATAGCGTTCAAGTTCGTCGAAATCACTTATAACGACGTTCAAAGGAGCAGCGAAATATAGCAATAAGTTGTTATAATCGATGTCAAAATCAATATATCGCTCATTTACTGCAAGAGAGGCATAACTCAAAAACGTGATTAACGTTAATGATGCACGATTGTTCGTAATAATAATCATGTTGTGTAAAAAATTAATATGAATATCTCTTACACACTCTAATTGAGAAGCTATAGAAGTACCTCTGTCTCATATAAAGTGTAAGTGAATTGAAAACTTAAAACTCATTTTTTGCAAAATCTATTTTTTGAGTTATGCCTGTCTGGCAGTAAATGAGCTATATATATATATATATATGTCCTTCAAATTTATCATAACCTTAATAAGCGCGTTACACTACAAAATATACATAGCACAGCCCAGCCTCTTTGATATTCCACAGTGCGAAACTTGATTCCAGTCTAGAAAGCACTGATCGTTCGCGTTGTCCATCGTAGCCCTCAAAAAAATATTGAGTAGCCCCATCATTTTGAATTACTCACCACTCGCAGCATTGGCAGCGAGAGATATGTATGGTGCTTTCATTTAGTATGCTGGTTCACTCCAGCCCCCAATACCTCACCTCTTTAGGTGCTCTAACTCTCCCGCTAAACAGTACTGATGACGTAGTTAACAAATGCTCCCACAAATGTATACACACACACGTTGTCTACATACATACCAATGGTACACTCATTGATTCGTATTTATTGTAGATGGTTGGATGGGTTTGTTGTTGATTTTTCCTTTTGGTTTGCTTAGTTATATTACTGTATTGACTGAAAGAGAGTCGGCAGACGTTTCGTTTTTTTTATTATTTTTTTGGCTCTCCATAATAGGTTGGAAATTGGAATTGACTTGGTGATGGTAGTAGTTGCTAATTGACGCTGTATCGTACGACTGTGTTTCCTCCGCCAGAGACTGCCAGCTTGGCCCTGTTTTGCAATTCATACTAGGAATATACGTTTTACGATCGTGGTTTCCCAAAACAACATACACATCGTATTTCGAAAAATATTTGAAATTGAATAACGACAAATTTCTCTTGGAAGTAAGATATCAAGAAAAATAAATAAATGTAATTTAAATACAGCTAGCTATGTGTGCATTGTGCTTTTGGAGTGTATACATTTTCTATGTTTAACCTTAACCGTGAATTAATAGAGGTGGTCGTGATAATTGTACCAAGTGACCGGTGTATGTGATAACACCATTGATGTTACAATCGATGTACAGAACGATATAAACAAACGATATGTGATATACTGAGACTGGAAGACAATGCTCTCCTCTGCCAATTTCATCATAAATTATATAAGAGGTGTCTGTATGTGTGTACAATGTTTATGACATAATTGTACTTTTTTGGACAACAACGTCAACTCAAGCTCTTCAGGCCCGCAAATGTCTTATCAGTGAGTGTTGAGTTTATATCAACAACAACCGGCAGCGAAACCCCGTAATTCTAAATTTTAAAATTTCCATACGACAATATTTGCTTTTGTTTTTTTTTTTTTTTTTTTTTGTACATATCATTTAATCGTGATCGTTCGACTCTAACTATGTGAGGCATACAGCAACAAAAGTAAATAAAAACATTATAGCCATTTAATCGAAACTGCGAAATGAAATAAAAAACAGGGTACGACTTTGGAATATGGTTCATATAGGTGTTCAAAAATTAGATTATATTGTGAAACCAAAAGTTTACTCATAGATTATCGCCTTTGATAAATAACGAATGACTGCCAGAAAACAACACAAGAATGCTAAATAAAGTATTATACCTATGTGGTGACTTATTGGAATGTTTGCTAAATGAGGCAACAGTAATGAGCAAAAGTCAGTAACAGAATTATTAGATTTTGAAAGTGGCCACAGAAGCACTAAACACTAGATTTAATTGATAATATTTCATTAAAGTCAGTAGTTAGGTATTGATTAGAAAAATTAATTTTATACTTTATATATTTTCAATCCAGATATGGAATTGTATTTCATAGAGCAATTATATGTATGTATATTATAGGGGACTAAATTATGCGGCCACTTTCGAATTAATACTGTCAATATGAAGACTTTCTCTCCGTATACTAATTTTTAGCGAGAGCATTGCAAAATAGTAGACACTATTGATCTGTTCCCGTACTGCAAGAATCTACTAATTTTTATTACAATAACACTTTTTGCCTTTATGATATCGAACAAAATAGTAAAAACTAGTAGATTCTTGCAGTACGTGAACATACCAAATGTTACAACCCCTTATCTATTTACATATATGGATTAATGACATTCAATATTTCAATATTCAGTTTCCAATACATAACAATTTCCCAATATGGATCGCCCCATTAACGCTTTTGTTAATCCTTTCGGCCAACGTCCCTGGATGGCGCAGACCGGTGCTGCTGCCCCCAGTGGTGGTGGAAAGGGCTTGAAAGGCATTATTGCTGGTGGCATTACTGGCGGCATTGAAATTTGCATTACTTATCCAACGGAGTATGTCAAGACACAACTACAGCTCGATGAGAAAGGTGTCAACAAGCAATACAACGGCATTGGAGATTGCATCAAGAAAACCGTACAACAAAGAGGATTTTTCGGATTATACCGTGGACTAAGTGTATTGCTCTACGGCAGTATTCCAAAATCTGCAGCAAGGTAACATCTAACAGTCAGTTGCATAATTAACTCTGATGTGATTTATGTTTTTTTTTTTCAGATTTGGTGCATTCGAAACGCTTAAAGGTCACATGGTCGATGAGCACGGGCAACTAAGTGCTTCGGGAAAATTACTGGCAGGTTTAGGCGCTGGTGTATGTGAAGCCGTGTTGGCTGTTACTCCCATGGAGACAATTAAAGTAAAATTCATAAATGATCAACGTAGTGCCAAACCACAGTATAAGGGTTTTGCTCATGGTGTTGGTTGCATTATTAAGGCAGAAGGTACGTTAAATATACCTTTTCACGTATGTTATGATATCTCAAAAAAATTACCATTTGATCCAAAAACGTTACATTTTGCGATTTTTTAATCTGTAGGTGGTAAATAACAAAAAGGTTGGTTCGTTTAACCCCCACAATATATGGAGTACACAAATGAAATAGAATCGATTCCACGAGAACAATTCATTGATAAACGATGGCCAAAGTAGTTATGGTTTTTGGAAGCAAATTCATACATATTCGCTCGCATATTTGAACACGATGAACATTTTGAGTTCACAGAGTTTTTTAAATTTTAATTTGTGTTTTTTTTCACTTTCCTCTCTACAGCTTGGAAGTATCTTGGGGATATATTGTGCCGAAAATAGTGCTTTGAAAAAAATAGTAAAACGATTAAGAAGATTAGGACACACAACCAAATTGTATTACGGGCTGGGCATAGCTCATTTCGACAATGGTCTTTTCCGCGATTTTATAGACCGGACGTGACCTTCATATTTATTTTCGCAAAAGAACATTTTTGAATGATTTGTATTTGTTGATAAAATGCATTCCAATTAATATTGCATAATATTTCTTCAATAATTATTCATCTAAGTGTCGTACAATTTTAATGAAAGAAGTGTTAAAATCTTATTTAACATAGATCAAAATACTGGCTGTAGAGCTTTTTTGCTTTAATTGTACATAAATAAGTGAAGTTACGACAAGAAATTGTTCTAATGCCCAATACTAATATACTAATGTAATGACTTTAAATGTAGGTATAACACAAAAGTGCGTTGTAATGTAGAAAAATAATTGTGTTTGATTGATTTAGTAAACATTTTAGTCGTGCGACAGATCACGGAACTGCCCATATACAACTTAAAGAGTATCACATTAGTCCTTTCCTAATTTACAAAACATAACATTGTATACTTGTCTATTTTAATTGGGGTGTTAATATTTTATTTACAATACAGTGAAATAACTATTGAATTCATGATCATAAAAACTTTCATTTTTATAGGCATAACTGGAATTTACAAAGGTGTAACTCCAACAATTTTGAAACAAGGTTCCAATCAAGCCATCCGTTTTTACGTTATGGAATCCCTTAAAGATTTATACAAGGGCGATGATAAAAACAAGCATGTTCCCAAACTGGTGGTCGGTGCTTTCGGTGCCATCGCTGGTGCTGCTTCCGTTTTTGGTAACACACCATTGGATGTGGTGAAGACTCGTATGCAAGGTCTCGAAGCAGCCAAATACAAGAACACTGCCGACTGTGCCATGAAGATATGGAAGAACGAAGGATTCAGTGCCTTCTACAAGGGAACAGTGCCACGTTTGAGTCGTGTATGCTTGGATGTAGCCATCACCTTTATGATTTACGATTCCTTCATGGATCTTTTCAACAAAATATGGAAGGAATAATAATACATATTGCCCCCCGAGTATCATGACCAAATGATAGTCGCCCCTGTAAATAAATCCGCATGCGAATTTGTAAATGTATTGACTGACCATTCAAACTTATGTTACCACGGCTATTTTAGATGTACAGAGCTGAACTATATGTGTCTTCTCAAGGCTCGCTGGCTTTCTACTATATTTTTCAATTGACTTTGGATTAATTTTTGTAATTTTAGCACCAATTTACTTAAATGAAAAGTATGTATGTATATTGCAATGCATTTAATTGAATATGATTTTGCGTTTGTTTGTAGTTTATTGTCTTTAATTATACACAAAGAGAGAAACATAACACTTTACTATAGATATACATATAAATAAAAGGTAGAAATGAAAATAAACAATAAAAAATTGAGTATTGTTATCTATCAATTTAAATATACATAAGTAAAAAAACTGTAAAGAATTAGACCTGTCTATGTGAAGAATTCGAAGAGGGAATATGATCTGCCTAGCATCTGTAGATTAAGAAAATGCTAGATTAGCTGGTTGCATACACAACATTTGGTGTACATGTTTCTTCTCGTTATTCTATACATTGGGACAAGATGTATCTTTGGATTTAATTGGTCAATTTGTGGGGGGAATCGACACAAACAATATACACTCTAGACAAGGGAAAGTTTTGTTATTTACATAAATGTTGAATAAAATTAACTTAAAACTGGTAACTCTAGTCTATCGTATGACATTCAATGGAATTGTTGAGTTTTTGCTGCATAATATTCTTCCGAGCTTCTCCTCTAGGGTCTTGCTCAACTCGTGCCATGTGCATTTTCCGATTAGGGAAACTTCTTCTAAAGGAGGCCTAAATACCACCAACACATTTAAACAAATACCATCAGTTGTATGTGGCGGGGCGGATGGACAATGTTCCACACTGAGAATACCATGAGGGCGATGCTGGGGAAGTTCAGCTCCAAATAGTTCAACCATAAACTTTCGAAGAGTTGAATGTAAACTGCGCTGTGGATGGACTTCGACTGTGGGAAAATGATGAACATTTTTTTCGCTTACCAGAACATTCAATGCATTGGTAGAGCGCTTTCTTATGACGGCTACAACTCGCAAATAGTTTTTGTGGTGTGCGTATTTCGTTGGCAGCACTTCATTATGCCACAGAACAGACTGAGAGCACTTATGGCGGTTTATATACGACTTGCCAATTTCAATTATATTCAAAATATCGTTTGATCTAAGCGGCAGTTCTTGTATATTTTGTATCCATTTAGCTTGCAAAGATTCACTGTCTGCCTGAGCTGGTGTCTTCAAGACACCGCCGGTTACAGTTCCGGTCATTACGAAACGGAACCAGGACCCACCTGCTGCTTCTATTGCCAAAAGCGTAGTTATTTTGCAATTAAGTCCCGTCTCCTCAAACACTTCCCGAACAGCTGCTTCACAGATCGACTCATTCTTTTCCATGCGACCGGCCGGAAGATACCACTTTCCTAGTAAACATAGACATATAATAATTCTAGTTTTATATAAAGTAATTCAATAGGGTACCTGCGCACGATTGTTTGGCTTCCTGCATGGCCAACACTTCGTTATTTTCATTGAATAGAACACAGGCCACGATATACGTTACCGTCTTCCCCAGAACTGGTACAAAATCCGAGGCTGCAGTTGGTTGAATACCTTGGGCTTCAGCTGTGGCATTTTGTTCTTCCAGAGAGAAGTCACATAATTCCTGCGTAATATCTCCCAAATCCTGTCCAGCTATTAAGCTTAATAACTTTTGTTCGATCGACGGCAAACCATTTGTCTGGGGCATCGTTATGCAGTGAAAGTTTAAAGTCTGTTAAAACCACTAAATCAGATTGTTTACTCCTTTTATCAATTAGTCACTGCAAGCGCAAGTAACATCACACCTCTTCTTACTCGTATGCGACAAATTGTTACTACAACACTTCTGAACTACTAACTATATCTGTATGTATATACGTGTAGGTGTGAGAAAAATACCACTTAAATATATTTTTTGTATGTTTTGAGAAAGAATGTTCGACAAATTTCATTGAATGGAGTACAACTTCTTACACCCAACAGATAATTCAATGGAAATAGTAGCTTTAGCACTGGCAAATGTATATTTTATTCACTTCGGGAACATTACGAACTTTTCTTATTGCTTGTTTGCGTCTAGGCAAATACACGGGATGGAATACAGGTATGCCAACGAAACATTAAGTTGTTGTTTTGGAATGTGGTTTGGCCAAGTGATTTGCTTTTGTTGGTATTGTAGACAACACACACGAACGGACAAACACATATAAGCTCATACTGTCGTCGTGCGATGTGTTTGAACTCTCATATCTCACGTTCTTCAATTCGACTGCCTTTCTCGGTTCTTAAGAATGAATATTTCTGTAAAAGCCATAAAGAAAACCCGTCAACGCTATGTCGATCCCAGTTGGCAAAAGTTTCGCGTGACACGACCGAATGTTCAAATGAAACTGTTTCCAGTCGTACCGTCTTAGCCACTTTAGAGTCTCACAACTTGTGCACATGCGCAAGACACTGCAGGAGCATTAAGAGGGGCTGCTTTGTCAGTTTTTTTTTTCAATATAGCATGGTTATATTAATGAAACGCTGGCAACAACAGCAATATGTAGTAGTAAATAGTAACATCTTACAGACGAATGTGTTGTATACAATGGCCCGAGCAGACCGGACTAAGCAACGGTTACAGGTGGTACATTGACACTAGTTTGACTTGTTTGCTTTGACGGTCGCTATGAATGTAAATGTCTATACGAAACGCAACAAAAAATATCGATGCTGATACTCTACATCTCATTCAGATTGATACCATTAGAAAGTAATGTTTTGATTTGACGAATCGTCGCAAACGCTAATCGATGCGATCAAAGCATAAAAAAACAAGTTATTTTCTTTTAAATTGAAGTTCATGGAAAATTGTACACTTAACATTTTCCTTTCTCTTTCGGCAATCTGAATCACTCTAAATAGCAATGAGTTGCTATATGTCTTCATAGATAATTGCGTAGTGCTAAGGGCAAATCGTATAAAATTATAATAATATCTTCTAAACGCATTGAGATAACCCCAATCATGTCACAACTCAATAGAAATAAAATTATACCGTTTTGGAAAGAATTTTAAAACAAGAATAGTTTTTACTAAACTAGAGATAAACCATTGACAATGATGGTCGGTCGGTAAGGATGAGCCGTCCAAGACTCCTGGAATTATTTGACATGATTCCATTGGACGAGGTGTTGTCCAATAGTCGCCATATACAGGCCTCCCTTCAATTGGTTAATATGTTACGTTCATCATGACGAGATTTTAATTTACGCTTTTCGTCCTTACCTCTATAATCTTTATTCCAAAACAATTGGTATGTTGAATGAAATCGACCGAATGCACCTACATAAGGAAAAAAACGTTCCACATGCAATGAAAAGGGACAAGGGAGAATAGCTGATAAAAACCAACTCAAAAATATATTGCTTCAAAGTTTGTATACAGTTTTAAAGCACTATCTAGAAGCTTTAAAATGATGCCCACATGGGATTCGTAAAACAGATGTTTAGGGGAAATAACCTAAATACAGTAGAACTCCGGTTTAACGATAACGCCCATTGCCAGTTTGGCCCAAAATTCCCGATGCTTGCAAAATACATCTTACATACATATTTCTCTGAATCCTCAATTCCAATGTGCAATACTATTTTTCGGGGCGCGAAAAAATCAATGGCAAGTCAATGGAATTTCTTTAATTCTTCTGTAGATATTAACCAATATTCCTTGAATATTTTATCTCAATGGAATAAAAACTGAAATTTGTATGTTTATTTGTAACAAGTTCTAATAAATATTTGTAAGAAAATTAAAATATAGTTCAGTTCTGCAGTTTTCATTAAAATAAATGCCATTCGATAGGGGAGAGGGGGGCACCTTTGAACACTTTTTCCTTTCAAGCCTCATACAATTTTTTATTTTTTAACTTTTGTTTTTTTTTATAAAATTTTAATTAATAGATGCAAATATAACTATATATATATATATATATATACCTATGAGAAATGCATTTATTTACTAAAAACATTAACAAAAAGGTGCCCCCTCTCCCCTAGTTTTTTTTTTTTAAATTCAAGATTAGGGCTGATAATATATAAAACGGTACATAGAGTCTATTGTACAATAAAAAACAACAAACTTGGATTACCCATGAAGAATAAAAACAACATATAAATGGTATCCCAAATTAACCGCCAAACCTACTGAAAATATTCCCCGAACTTTCAAGGTCAATATCTGGGGAAGTATGAGACGATGCCAATCTCTCTCAAAAAATCTTTGGAACAAATGCACTTTACGGACACCTCTCGGATAATTTTGAAATTTTTACCATAGGTAGCTCTTCTGATGCTGATTACAGCAACATAATTTCTTTCGGGGGGAAATCAGTACGTACTTCCCGAGATATGGGGTTCCACTGCGAAAAGTTTAAATTTTTTACAGCACATAGTCCTTTTGGAGCTGATTACAACCACATAATTTTTTTGGGGAGAACTTCGTACTTCCGGAAATATGGGGTATTAAAATGTAATAAAACCTACATTTTATACCCTTACTTATTATCCGAGAACAAATTGTGTTATGAGAACAAAATTTTCTTTTCAATTCAATTTTTTGGGAATAGCCGGCCTTCGGCCGGGGTTTTAAGACTTTCTCCTATGGACAGGTGGAAAATTGGGCTACGCGAGCAGAATTCTCTTTTAATTTCAATTTTTTCTGAATAGCCGGCCTTCGGCCGGGGATTTAACTTTCCCCTATGGACAGGTGGAAAATTGGGCTACGCGAGCAGAATTCTCTTTTAATTCCAATTTTTTCTAAATAGCAGGCCTTCGGCCGGGGATTTAAGGCTTTCTCCTATGGACAGGTGGAAAATTGGGCTACGCGAGCGGAATTCTCTTTTAATTTCAATTTCTTTTTTAAAAGTTATACATGATTGAATAAAATTAAAAGCATATTTAATAAGCTTCATTACTAAATCCCCGGCCCCAGCCTATTTTTTTCCAAACCCCATATCTCAAGAAGTATGGACTTCCTCCCATATAGTAACATATTTACGTAATCAGGTAAATTATACATACCTCTGCTGATCCAGAACAATCCGAATGTCCCTAAAGGAAAAAATCCTTAAATCAAACAAATAACCATATAAGCTTATTTTTAAAATTTTTGAACCCCATATTTCCGGAAGTACGAAGTTACCCCCCCAAAAAAATTTTGTGGTTGTAATCTGCTCCAAAAGGACTATGTAAGAAAAAGTAGGGGTATTTTTTGAATTTTGGAACCCCATATCTCGGGAAGTACTGATTTCCCCCCGAAAAAACGTATGCTGCTGTAATCAGCATCAGAAGGGCTACCTATGATAAAAATTTCAAAATGATCGGAGAGGTGTCCGTAAAGTGCATTTAAGCCAAATCTTTAGACATATACATATTTCCAATTTCGTCCTATTTCAACAGGGATCTGAAGTGAATCTACCAAATGCGATCCGATAGAATTTTCTTCCGGTTTCACCACTTATTGATTTGAAAATTTGTATATACAGTCGTGTACGCTTATAACGCACACCGGTTATAACGAATATTCCTTATAGCGAAGACATTTGCTGGTCCCGCAGATTTAAGACTGATTTTGCATACAAATCTTTACTCTTATAGCGAACATTCTTTAAAGCAAACTATTAATTCGGTCCCAACTTTCAGTTTATATCGACCTTGTTAAAAATATACACAATACTTAACGACGATAATCCGCACAAATGTTAATTTTGTATCCTAACAGTGGCAGGCAACCTTTGCAAAAAAAAAAATCAGGTCAATCAAAGAAAAAGAGAAGAAGCGTAAATATTGCCAAAAAGAACACAAAATCTGTCAATTTCGGAACTGAATATATATTTTTTATGTTGGATATAACGAACTTCGAACTAATTTGCCTGGTCCCTACAAGTTCGTCGTTATAGCCGTACTTTACTATACAAGCATACATATTGTCTTCAAGAAGTAGCATAGGAATATCTAATTGTTGTTTTGCCAACTTCATGTTCCACCAAAAGAAACTTACCTCTCATGAAATTAATCCAGGATCTGGACCATCTGGAAATTACATAATTTGTATTATCAACGATCTAGACATCGGACATCTTAATGAATTAAAAGGGATTTTCATTTGTAATTATTTGACGCTATGGCGAAAAGTATAAAATAAAGAAAATGAAAAAAAAAAAACGAAATATTGCCACTAAGATAAATTTAAGAATTTGCAATGTTGCCACTGTGATGAAGGAACAACGGTGTACGAAAACGACATCAAAAAGGAATAACATAAAATGTTTGACGCCTACTTTAGAAGTGACAGCTTATCATTTTCGGTGATTTGCGTTATCAATTTGAATGGTATTCGGTATTCGACTCGTTAATAAGTTTCAACCAAAATGTCTATATACTCGGTACATGTTTAACAACACTGATTTTTTGCATTTTTCGTTTCGCCTTCTTCTGCTAAAAATTAATTTCATAAATTTTGAGGAGGAAATCAAACATAGAGCACAGCGAAAAGTGCTTTCCAATCCGTTTAAACAACGCACAGCTGGGATTAGAAGGTAATATCGTTCGAATCGGAGGGAAAAACGCTGGGTATTCTGTGAGAAGGTAAAGGGCCGTTGTCTTGCCTGTGCTCACACACCCCCTCCCTCCCTTACCATTTACACACAGTGCGTAGTAATAAGGTATACCAACCAACCAACCAGAAATCAGGAAAATAGTCATACCTGAAATTCCATGTTGAAGTTTTTCCAATAAGAATCGCGCATTTGGTTAATTATAAAAAATAGTCAGTGGGCCACAACACGACCACACCGTAAGAACACCACACATCAGTAAGAAATGTCCGATATGAATATTGACAGCATTATATCAAGACTATTGGAAGGTGAGTATTTAAGTGGCGAAATCCGAATGGACTGACCATGTAATTGACGCATTATTTTTATTATAGTTCGCGGTGCCAGACCTGGTAAAAATGTCCAGTTGTCAGAAAGTGAAATAAGAGGCTTATGTCTAAAGTCCAGAGAGATATTTCTGTCCCAACCTATACTGTTGGAGTTGGAGGCACCTCTTAAGATATGTGGTAAGTTGCACCGCGCTCAGGTAAGAAAACGCCATTAAACCACTTTCTTTCTGAATTATGAGTGAAATAACTTAGGCAACGAAACCCTTGTGTCCTTGGGAGATCTAATTGTGTGGGAATGCATATTTCATTTATCGAAATCGGCGGAAGTCGCCAGCCACATGGACGAAAAGCGTACTAAGTAAGATCAGAGTGTCTCTATGTGTTTGGACAATGTATATTTATGACAATCAATTCCATTTGAATGTAATACAAACTGTCATCTAATTTGTACACGAACTTCTAACATAAATTGTTGACATTGTCGTCTGATACAATATCTTTCCTCAGTAGAGGCAATTGTAAGCATAAATTACAACTTGAAAATTTGGTCGTATTAAAACAATTAACCCCAAGTCTAACGTGTGACCTGTTTTCATCCGGAACATCCAAAAGGGCTTGTCCGCCTTAATGTAAACGAGAGTCTTGATATAATTGAAGGGTCTTATTTGTAACATTGTATGTTACCGTCCAATGTGGTACCATTTATATAAGGATATTTTGGAATTCTCCATTTGTGTAATTAAAATTCGAATAAAATGTGACCTGTTTTGCCTGCTAAACGATGGATGGCGTGATTGAAACAACATCCGGAACATCCAAAAATGCTTGTCCGCCTAAATGTCAAAGAGTGTCTTGATATAATTGAAGGGTCTTAATATAATTTATTTGTAACATTTCCAATGTGGAATTCTCCATTTGTCCAATTAAAATTTGAATAAAATGATGTATTGAAAATATGTCTGAAAATATGTATGTATATTCCTTGCCAATTCGAAAGTTATATGTTTCACACACACACTTTATAGGTGATATCCATGGCCAGTACTATGACTTATTGCGTTTGTTCGAGTATGGTGGTTTCCCTCCAGAGTCAAACTATTTATTCCTGGGCGACTACGTAGATCGTGGTAAACAATCCCTGGAAACAATATGCTTACTGTTGGCTTATAAAATCAAATATTCGGAGAATTTCTTTTTGCTTCGTGGCAATCACGAATGTGCAAGTATTAATAGAATTTATGGGTATGTTTGAAATCCCTGGTATTGTTTCAAAAACATTTATAATAATCGGAGTTATTGCAGTTTTTATGATGAGTGCAAAAGGCGTTATACAATCAAGCTTTGGAAAACTTTTACAGATTGTTTCAATTGTCTACCGGTTGCAGCTATAGGTAAGGAAATGTGCAGACCTGCTGTCGCGGTTTAGAACTAATGTTTTCTTTTTTGCATATCAGTGGACGAGAAAATATTTTGCTGTCACGGTGGTCTCAGTCCTGATCTGACAACGATGGAACAGATAAGACGTATTATGCGACCAACGGATGTGCCCGATCAAGGTCTGTTGTGTGATTTGCTTTGGTCAGATCCTGACAAAGATACAATGGGTTGGGGCGAAAATGACCGAGGCGTTAGCTTTACTTTTGGTGCTGAGGTAAAGTGTTAAGCTCATTTTCCTATCATTTTCAAATGGAACTAAATGCACTTGTTATTTGTATTAGATTGTGGGTAAATTTCTTCAGAAGCATGATTTCGATTTGATTTGCCGTGCACACCAAGTTGTTGAGGACGGCTATGAATTTTTTGCCAAAAGGCAATTGGTGACATTATTTTCCGCACCCAATTACTGTGGTGAATTCGATAATGCAGGTGAGTTTCTGTCCACGATCTACCAGTACTTCATGAACAATTGAATCAATTATGTTTAAATTTTCCTACATAGGTGCTATGATGTCGGTGGATGACACTTTAATGTGTTCATTCCAAATTTTGAAGCCCGCTGACAAACGGCGATTTGTCTATCCAACATTTGGCAGTTCAGGGCGACCTCTGACACCACCCCGGGGAGCCAACAATAAAAACAAAAAGAAATAAGTTCAAAGTTCAAAATTCAGATGTCATGTTCAAACCTTACTACGTACCCTCTGTGTGGTTTAAAATTTACTAAAGCAAAATATACACACCCACATTATAGAAGAAAACACAGACAAACACACACACACATACATTCATTCATTATAGAGAATACCTTCTTTCTGTTCTTACAAATTAAGAAGTAATTTAATTTTGTCCGCAAATGTTTCTACATATGTGTAATATTATTAAACATAGATGGCATTATCATATGCCCATATTATAACTCCCCGTTTGCGTAAAGTTTACTTCTTAGAAATATGTGTATTGTACAACTCTTAATTTTAGGATAATTTATTATTTGTTTGTTTTATGTCTACTCCCGCCTATTGTGATTAATTCTACCTTCCGCTTTTAATTCACCTCTTAGGTATCGAGACACGGCGCAATTATATTTTTTACAATTTAATTTAATCACTTACACCAAATACAAGAAAAAAATAATATTAATATGAAGTAAACACAACAAAAAATAAAAAAGATAAACGAATCTTTATAAATTAAGACAAGAAAAACGAAAATAAATTCAACAGAATGCTACAATATTATATTTGAAAAATTGTATGATTTTATTTAAGAAACTGGTCAGTAGAGGAATTTTATTAAAAGCAAGTACTGGGTATTGTAAGTCATCGCGAAACTTGTCGAAAGGAAACGTGTTACATTTATCATTCATATTGCCACAAATTGTATTTGCCTATGAATTTTCGAACGTTGGTTATTAGTTTTGCATTTTTTGCTAATAAATTAGCTTTATAAAATCATTTATCAGCTATCTGTTTGTGTTTTGTGGTGTTTACAATTGGTATGTTACCGATCTGCAAGAACCTACCATTTTTTTACTACGATAACAATTTTTTCCTTTATGGTATCGTAAAAATTAGTAGTACGGGAACAGACCAAATGTATCAACATTCTGGCATAATGGAAAACAGTCGAGTACGTTATTACGGTTCGTGTGATGATTTTCGACTGTCAAAAAGGTGTAAATGTAGAAAACGTCATATACCTGTATAAAATGTAATAAATGTAGTAAACGTCATTTATTTCCATATTATTACCATATACAGTTATTTTAAAGTATATATATTATTTTTACATATATCTGACTGTTTCTTACTAGAACTAATAAACAATTCTTAACTTTTTGGAGAAGAAGCTGCCAACGTTTAAAAATATATCAGGTTCACTAAAGAAAAAAAATATGCAGCTTAAGAATGGACAAAACCTACGAATTTCTAACTAAATATATTTTTTTCTGCTAAGCCTATGTTTTGCCTACCTTGGATATATCGAACATCTTCTATAACGAACTAATTTGCTTTGTCCCTAGTAGTTCGATATAACCGTACTCGACTATTAATTTTTTAAAATGTTATTTTCTTTTTGTGAAATATCACGAAATTTTATAAATTCTGAAAGCGTACATTACAGGGAATAGAATTACAACATGGCATAATTGCCATGATTACAAATATAATAAATAAATTATATTGGAGCAAATTCAAGAATTTGTTGATGAGCGAAAATATATAAATGAATACCAATATGGTTTCAGGCGTGGGCTCAGTACTACATCTCTCTTAGTAGACTTAACTGATCTTATCAGAGAGACAATTCATGGAGGTGGAAGTGGTGTTCTCGTGGCCCTGGACTTATCCAAGGCATTTGATTGTGTAGATTATTCGAGACTAATTCAAAAACTACGATCTAATTATGCTTTTCATAATACAGCTTGTAATTTAATTTCCTCCTATTGGACGTTCCCAGTATGTTTCATTAAACGGCAAGACTTCTAACAAACTTAATATGTACAGAGGTGTACCCCAAGGTTCAATTTAAGTCCCCTTCTTTTTGTTTTATACGTGAATGACATTGGTAACTGTTTACATAATAGCGGATGTCGACCGTTTTTATATGCTGATGATATTCACTTATTTTTTAATGGCAAATCTAGTTCCCTATTGGAGTTTAACATTAACAATACCGCAGTATCGCGTTGGTTATGTAATAATAACCTAGTAATAAATGTTACAAAGACAAAAGCAATGGGATATGGTCCTTTATGTCGCCTCAATAATATAGATATACGTGTTAATGGATTAATTGTTGAGTTCGTTGATCGCATAAAATGCTTAGAAGTTATTGTTGATAGCAAACTTGATTTTTCTGCTCATATTGATGCTCTACACCAAAAAGTATTGAATATTCTTCGAAAATTATACTCAACTGAATTCTATATGCCACTATTTGTAAAGAGAAATCTTGCTTATTCCATGTTAATATCGCTTATTTCTTATGGTATAGAAGTTGTATCTGGCACCACACATGAGCATTTTAACAAAATAGAAAAATTGTTCAATATGGTTGTAATTTACATCGATCATACCACATTTCAGCTTATGCGGCTGATTTTCTAGGAGTACCGTTTTCAGTTTTCGTAAAGAAAAGAGTTATTTCATTTCTATATAAATCTGTCACTTTAGATCTTCCCGGTGTCCTGCGTGATCGACCTAGATCTAGAGAAAAACAGATCTACCAGGAACAATCAGTTAATTTTCCCGCGCTATTCCACTTGTTTATATGAACGATCATTTATTATTCGTTCGTCACGTTTGTGGAATCAACTTCCTGTTGAACTACATTTTTCTTTTTCGCGCAGTGTATTTCAACGCAAGATTGAAGATTTTGCTGTTAATTACATGCTGGACTAATGTCTTTTTTAATTTGTTTTGTAGATGCGACTTTATTCAGTTCTTTTGCTTAGATATTATCAACAATAGTCTTTACTGCTTTATTTTTACATGGCTGGGGAGCCTTTTCTGCTTTGTAGTTTGTTAATTAAAATCCATATATTATGTTAGTATATGAACTATTTAGTTTTAAAATGAATTTAAAAATGCTTTAAAGTTTGTTACTTAGAATTCATAATTTATATTAAGATATATACTGTATAGCTATAAGATACGTTTTATAATGTGAAGTACACTTTTGTAGTTTTGGCATGTTGCGATATTATTGACCAGATGGCTTTTTCGTGGCAATAAAATAAATAAAAAAATAAATAAAATATAACTGAATTTACAATTCAAAATTCAATTTTTGGGGAAAACCTAATGTTTGTTGAAAATTTAAACAACAAGGCGCTGCTAATGAGAAAAAGGATATGACGAAAGGCGTACCAAAAGGATTGTCGTATTACAAACTTTTGACTGAATAAGCACTTTAATAGCTTCACAATTTATCCGTGTAAGCTGTAACTGGTTCTAAAGGTTTAAACCAAATAAAATATATCTTAGAATCATTTGCATCAATGCTGAAAATATTCTGAAGGTGCTTAAAACTTCCGGGCTTTGTGTGTGTGTGCGTGGTTTTTTATAGTGTGCTGCGAGCCATAATTTAGCCTAGTGCCTATTTAAGGGAGATATGAATAGTAACAGTCCATAAAAACATAATACAATTGAAACAGGTCTGAACAATTACAGTACCGGCTACTTCCGCTTAACAAGACAGATGGATGATCTGCTATGATGCATACTTTACATACAAACCAACGTTGGCCTATACCACTCACTACTCATTTAGACCGCAGCGCAACTTGTATTTAATGATCGATGTATCTTCGGGATGTGTAACGACAGAACAGCAGACGGACAACAATAAGTTCAATAAACTTTGCAAAATACACACATGAAAGGAAGGGCAGCCAGCCAACAAAGGTATCATCAATAACACAGATGTAAGTGCACATATATATATATATATAGTTACATTAGCCAATATTCAATTCATTGTTATTAACTTGTTTTCTTTTTGTTTGTGGCTCATCATTGCTTATATGGAACAAGCTTTAAGATTTGCCAGATTTTCTGTGAGACAATATAAACTTGTAGAAATATGGGCCAAAGCTTTTTCCATACTTACACATGTACGATGTTTACACTCAGAAAGTTCAACCATGAAATGATAGATACTACGAACTGAAATTATAAGTAAACCAGAAAATATTTGTCCAGAAATATAAAAGAAGTAAGAGAGAATCTTTTTCTCAAAAATATTTAAGGTCTAAAAAAGCATAAAAATACCATTGCTTTTATTTATAGAAGATTTTTCTGAGTGCATTTTTTTGTTCTTCAATGTTCTGCTAATTCATATTTTTACTGAAGAACGAGAAGTTTGATCGTATGTCACTCGAATCCGTTATTTTCAAATTTTACCGAAACATACTGTAAGTCAGTCTGGGTGCTTATTAAAAAATGAAATTCATTTTGAGGTGTGTAATATTTGGATCAAATGTTCTACAAAAATCAAATTAAACACCATAAACCTTAGCTAATTATTTCAAAACCCTGCTGGGGACTTTCTTCTACCGTCATATGCTTTCAGATTTTGGCAGTCCCGGTTGGTTCATGATTTTAGCGCTGCACTAGACAACTATTTTACTCAATTTCAAAGCCAACATTTCGCCCTCTATTCATCCTCATAACACCAATGTACAAATTTATATCAGTAAAAATCGTTTTAATAATTTAAAGTGATGTAATATTATTTACTTGGCAAATTGTATGTAAAAATCATTAAATAGGATTATAGGGCTTGCTTCGAAATTTTTCATAGTTCAACAAATATGAGAAAACTTTGCCATACCATTGATGCATTGAAGAAAAAATCAAATTTAGAGCTCCCGTTGTTCTACGAGCAGCTTAAGAGGGGAGCTTTAGTATTTTCGTAGATGTGTGTATGTGACTGTTCGTGTGCTTAACTGACTGAGTGACCGGCTATCTATAGTGGGGAGCTACTCATTAATCTCAAACGACTCTATGCACTGGGCAGTGACACATGTAACTGTATGCGAATACTCTGTCCAACTAACTGGTCGTTCGTATAGTGTATAAAAGCTTCCAGTTGGAGAGCATTATATAGGGAACGTTAAAGGTGATAATAACTTCAGAAATCAAACGTTTTTCACATCAAAAACAACCATCCAGCCAACAGCTAGCTAGTTAAACAACAAAAACAAAGTTGATATTTCGTACAAATTGCAAACAACAACAACACTAAAATATATCTCTGAAATGGAGCTGCGCATGCGTTTTAGACAGACGCAGCCCATGGCGGTTTCCCTTCTGGTGTTAGCAACCGTTGCAATGATTATGCCAGTGATCTGTGCTGCAAAAGATTTGCGTAAGTGTATATGTGTGACTGTGTCTGTTTTCACGATTAAAAATTTGTTTCGCAACGGAATTGGGAAAATCAAAAACCTATATCAAACCGTTGTAGTGTGCAGAAAAATAATGCTAGCTTTTAATTGGACTACCAGAGACAGTGTTTGTCAAGTCGTTTGTGCAATGCAATCGTGCAATGAAATCTGTTTTGATGAAAAAATATAAATTACACAGAGCTATGCACCAACATTTTATTTTGGATTTTGAAATGTACTATCAATTTTTAGAGAATTGTTTTTTAGTGTTAGTGAAGTTGTGAAATTGAAACATGAATTCTTTTGAATCGAACGGCTGAAAAAAAACACAAACAATAAAAATATGTTTCAACATGTATATACATATGTATGTATATGAGTAAACACCTGCATTCTTTGAGAATGATTTCCTACTATAGCAAACAATTGACGATATAGGCTATAGTGAGTACCTGTGAATGAGATAATAAAAACATTTGTAAAAAAAAGACATTTTTGTAATACATATGACAATTTCAACACGGCGTCGATATTGAAAAGTCATAGCGTCGTTATATTTTACATAGATTGCTTGATTAATTTATTTGGTGCCACCGTCCTTTTGACAGAACACAAAAGTGTCAATACCACAGGGAATTTCTATAAATTATTTCAAATTTATTCAAAAATAGCTATTTTTAATAAAATGTTTAATTTTTAAAATTAAATTTAAAATGACGTGTTTAACAAACCGGAAACCTTTTCCGATATAAATAATCCATTTTTTTAATCCTTCCGTTTAATCTATAAATTCTTGAATTTTTGCAATATTTCGCATGACGATGCCAGGAGGAATCATTAATAATTTATTTTTTATAGAAAAATTAATTACAGGAAAATAATTACGTATGTATAAATGTGTATAAAAATTGTATATGATTTTCAAACTTATCCGAAACAAAACTATTAGCAATTTCACATTAGTTTAAGGGTTGTGAGGGGTTTGAATTCCCTTCCACTCTCCCACATTTCAATTGCAGAATTAGGGGAAATCATATTGCTAGTGGGTTTCAGGACTTGTTATGCTATATCCCCAATTAGTACATATCGCTCATTTGCTGCAAGACAGGCATAACTCAAAAAACGTGATTTTCGAGTTAATGATGCACGATCGTTCGCTATAATAGACCTCATGTTGTATAAAAATTCACACTCTAATTGGGAAGCTGTTAAAGTTCCTCTGTCCCATATAAAGTGTAAGAAAATTGAAAACTTAAAACACATTTTCTGCAAAATCGCCTTTTTTGAGTTATGCCTGTCTTGCAGCAAATGAGCGATATGTATACTACCAAAAAGAGGCGTCCGAAACTAAATAAAAAAGTTATTTTTAGAGTTGGTATATCTATAAACCGGTGTTACAAATACAAACAAGAATGGTAGATATGTTTCATAAAATCAATTTAACTTTTGTATTTATTTAATCGATGTTGTCCTAACATTTAAACAAGGATACATTTAATGTATAATTTGTACACCCATCAGCATTTGTTTTTCTAGCATATACATATATAAGTAATAAATTCACAGTCCAAAACTTGTTTTGTCAAAGCTCTATAAAAACATCGAATTCATCTTGTCGTAGTTCAATGTCAAGTTTGAAATACTAGTCAAGCGCAAAGATTAGCCAAAAACACGGCATTAAATTGGCCTCTAAAGCAGCACCAACATCACGAGCGATTGTAAACATTTCAGATCCATAAAAAACACATTCACACGTATAAAAATATTTTGTTAAAAAAAAACTGACCTGTCGCAACAATAGCAATAATTTGATAAATCCATATAAAGCAAATAAGGAAATGGTTTTCGTTAAAATTCTTAATAGAGTAAATGTTTTACGTGGAAATAAGTAATTTGCGGATATTCATAGAAAACGCCAAATCAGTATTTTTAATAATAATGTAAGCCTAGTTAAATTTATGACATTGTGTGTCATTATTCGTTTGCAAGAGGAAAAATTGCCTTCATGCCAACTTTTTGAATTTTGGTGTGAGGATTTTTTGGTTTGTCCAATTGGAACGCTAAGATAACTTTTGAGTTTCATAATTGATATTTTATTTCAAAAAAAAAGAACCGAATTCTGTTCAACTTCGGAATTCCCTTTCAGTGACGAACTTTTCCATTGGCAATAAAATAGCCATCAAATTGTAAGTTGTTATGAATATTTTTGTTTTTTTTTTTTGTTCGATATTAATTGCAATTTTTGCAATTATTTATGAGATATACACTGCAGTTATGGAAACTATGATGACGGCAATGCTATAACATTGAAACTAAATGTCAATTAAATAAAACAAAAAACTGATTAAATGAAACGACTACTGTCATGGCTAAAATGGTATATTTCCAAGGCATTAACTGAAGAAATCAAACAATTGATATTGCAAATACATATTCGAATAAGCCGATAGATATCAGCTGTTTTCAATTTTTTTACTCTCAGTACAAATTTCTCAGATCTGATATTGATTATTTGCACATACATATACTGACTGTATAATTCATGATGTACCAACTACATATTTTCAGCGGAGTCATTTGACAAATGCAAGCGGGATTCAAATTTCGATAAATGCCTAGTGGATGCTGTTAACAAAGCCATACAGATTTTGAAATCAGGTAATGATAGATTTGCGTTCATTAAGCTTACAATATTTGCTAATATTTCCAATTTCATTTCTAGGTAATAAGGAATTTGAAGTTCCTGCCCTTGAGCCACTGCATGTGAAATCGCTTGTTATTGATGCTGGAACGGCTCCAATTAACCTGAGACAAACCCTGAAAAATGTAATGGTGACAGACATGATATCATCCAGTAAAATTCAGAGATACAGGTCCGTACTTTAAAACCCGTTAATGGTAGTTTTTAATGTTTTTCATTTATTGTTTTCTACTGCAGAACCGACTTGGATAAGTACTTGATAATATGTGACAGCTTTACTGGACGCATACAAATGTTGGGCGATTACGAGATGTCCGGGCGTATATTGCTGCTGCCCATTACTGGAAACGGTCGTGCCAATATAACCCTTGTAAATACGAAAATTGAACATCGATTAATTGGCGAACCATTCGAAAAAGATGGCGTTCAATATATGCGACTAAAGGAGTATCGAGTATCGTTCGATCCAAAGCGAGTTTATATGCATTTTGAAAATCTGTTCAACGATGCCACATTATCGCAGACAATGAATCGGTTTCTGAATGACAACTGGGAGACCGTATTTAATGAACTAAAGGTTGGCTATGCAAAAAGTTTTGGAAAAATCTTCCGAGAGATATCAAATAGGCTCTTTGAAAAAATACCCATGGACTCCATATTCCTTAGGTAATTGTTATTGTTGTTATCATTAAGAAAAAATACTGTTATCTTATCTATATTATTTTATAAGCTATAAAAACGTGTACATTATATAAAATACGAAATATTCCTCCAAGGGGAAAGTAATAAATATAATTTAAATGTTCATTTGCATGGTATTATTCTGTAATAGAATGAGGGGTCTAATAGCATAACAGGTAGAAAAAATGAAACTACTATAAATTCAAAATGCAAAAAAAAAAAGATAGTAAAACTCAATAACTGGCAAACGAATAATAAACGTAGATGTGGAAGTACTCTTACTCTCTTTAACACGGTCAGGGAAATGATAAATTATCTGTTGCAGGGCAAGCATGGGAACTGGTGCCCTTGTTCACATGTATCAATGAACTCGTTCTCTGCGTTCTCTTTTAGTAAGTCATTTCTTTTCCACTAATTTACTGTGAAAGAAATCATTTCGGGTATCCTGAGCACCCTGGACCTCTCTCCCGGTAGGAATGTGAACATGTTGGATATAATTGGTGTTCTTCGATGTGTTGTAATTTACTCTAGTTCTCCTTTAGGGATACCTAGTCGAGTATAAATGTCGACTTTTACAAAAGCTCGTGATTTGCTTCAGGTGATTTTATATCACTTTGAAAATTAATCCAATGACACATTTATCAAGATTCGTAAAAAGTCGAAAAATATTAATTTGGTTTCTTAAAGTCTGCGTACCTGATATTTTGTAAGAATTTGTACAAAATGTAACTTTTTTCCACTAAAGAATTTTGAATTGCTTTCAGCGAATCGATTGATTGTCGACACACCATTTTTAGGAGACATTCAAAACATTTTCAGTTGAAATTTGATAATTAATGTTTTAATTAAATTCATGACATTCCATTTGTAATTCATAAAATTTTATTGGAAATTCATAATATTTAATTTCAAATTCAAATGATTTCATTTCGAAATTATTTAATAATATTGTAAATGGAATACTGGAATTACAAAAAACAAATCGAATTATTTCAAATTTTATGAATTGCAATTAAAATAATTAATTCAAATTTAGTGAATCACAAACAAATTTGTGATGAATCGTTGTTGAAACTCTCAAATTGAATTGAAATTGATTGAAATCTATTGCAAAAAATCTAACCGCTATTTTTCGATTTTTTCATAATACAGAATGTCCGTTTTATAACATGGAAATTACCAGAAAAAATTAAGACATTTTTTCATCAATTGTTTAATAATTATAATTTACATTTATTTGACACTTATTTTGCGAAATATTTGTCATTTTATTCCGTAGGGAAACGAACACGAAACGCCCGATATTAACGAGAAAAATAGGCAAAAAACTATTTTAACAGTATAAACAAATATTACTATAATTTTAATATTTTTTTCTGCTTTGCGAAAAAACATGCACTTCTGCGCTTACATATTTTTTTTACTAGACAAAATGCCCAATTTTAATAACAAACACATTCACACATTTTCATTTCCTTTATGTATTTTGGCCACGACTCTCCGATAACGAAATTCGCGAATGTATTAAACATCCGAAATACAAATCAAATATGTCGTTGATTTTGTGTTATTATTTTTTTTTTACCAGCAGACAGATTTCTTCTTCGATCATTTTATTAATATGATTATATACAAATATTACTTTGATTTTGCTTTTTATGTTTCTAGCATACGAAGCACAGGCCGCGATATCACAAGTACAGACACATTTGCACATTTCTATTCCTTTCTTTGCGTATTACGAGCTTAACAACAACATCACCGACATTCGCGAATGTCGAACTACCAAAACACATTCAACCGAACTACCAAAACATAAATCGAAAAAGTCGTCGCTCCTTTTGCTTTTACCACAAATTTCAAAGATGCTTTTCGCAAGAATTATTCGTATTTCCCAAAAGTTTTGCTTTCAGTTGTTTGTTTGGGAAAATGGGAAAATTCTATTAACATTTGTTTCAATGAAAATTGTGAAATTGGTTTTTAACAAACTATTTCATTTAACAACTAATTGTACACAGTTTTGTTTTGGTCGATCTTAGCTTTAAAGTTAATAGAGAGAGCTCTATTAACTTTAAAGCTAAGATCGACCAACCAACAGTCGCAAACCGTTAACTTTGATAGAGTTGCCACAGTTTAAATTGCAATAGTCATTCAAATTCAGGTCTTAATAGATTGATAAATGTTGAAGAATGATTATTTTAAGCTGTGTACACACTAGCACTTTTGAATGACACTCTTGACAACTTTTTCTTGTTTGAAAGTGTGGTCTCTCGTTGCTAGTGTGTGTACACCGCTTAATGCTGCAATGATTTATAGAGCGTTTACATGTACACTTTTGTAAAATGTTGTGTACGGCCGTATTTCCCAAATACGTCGAATCCATATCTTCAATCGAATAATACAAACCGCAAAACAAAGTTGAAAATTTATTAAATTAATCCAAAATATTTTATGTTCACATTCGAAATTTCATATTTTCTGAATATTTTGTTTTTATTTTCAATAAAAGAAAAATACAAAAAATACGTTCTGTCAAAGTTTAAAATTTTCAACTTGAAATTTTGTACGCTCGACGTTTTTCATATAAATACATGTGTTCTACTTTTGTGGTGAAAACGTCGAACGAGCTAGTCGAATTTATTTTTTTGTTTTCGTCTATAATAATCCCTTGCATACTTTTAGGATTCGCGATTGAGAGCATTAACGATTTATCCATTCGGCATTCCACTTTCGATTAATCGACTTATTACATTCTCCGTTTTGTCCCTCATTCTCATGTATTAGTTCCGTTTTGATACATATTCTTATAAGTCGACAGTCGACTTGTATGGTTTTGATTGAGCACCTCAATTTACTTGAAAATAATACACAAAAACAAATTAGCAATTGCAAAAGGTGATTAATTGCACGAGAATAAAAAATAAAATAAAAATACTGCTCCCAAATACCGACCATTTAAGTGAAAAGAACATTCAAACATCAACCGACGGAGTTGTGGAGTGAAGAAATGAAATCATTTTAAGGTGTTGCTCGACAAAGAGCGAATCAAGTAAAAACAACAACAAACCAGACGAGGTGAAACTAGATTTTGTTATTATTCATACCTGGTACTGGTATTCAAGCTGGTGTGCATAAATATCCACGAAATAAACGGAGAAATCGTCGAACATAGAAGTGATTTAGAAAAGTATTAACATATTTCGCAGATACACATCGCCCTGCCGACGAAAAGAAAAACAAAAACATCAATGCGAAAAGTCCCTTCTGTCTGTCGGTAGGTCGGCCAATGCACCGTTTATATGAGTGTATTGTTTGCATTGATTTTCCTAGTTTTTTTTCATCTTCTGTTTTCCTTTTGACTGTGTGTATGTTTTTGTTATTTTTACGTGGAGGAGGTAGTAGTGATGTCGGAAAGAGAATGGTGTAGTCGGTAATCGGATGGCCTGCTACTGCCCTATGAAAGTGTTGTCATAATGTTGCCAAAACAAATTTTAAATTTGACAATGTGTAGCAGATAAACTATTGTGTTGTATGGAACCAGTACCACCAATAGGGGTACTGTTGCCCGGTTTCCGTCTCCGTCGACAGCACTACTCTTCAGTGTTTAAATAAGAGTGTTTTTGCAACGCAATACTGAATACAAGAAGCAGTGTTGTGTACTTTGCGTTGCGGTACTATGATCTGAAACAGAAAAGAAAGTTTGTCATTGCCATACACCGCGGCATAACAAATGGTTAAATAAAAACATGAAAGAAGTAGATTCGGATGATATACATGGATTGTGGAAAAAGTACGTGTTTAAAGTTTTGCAAAATTTAAACAAGGTCGGAGAATTCGATTAAAATAGACATAGACACCAATGACCCAAGGATATTATTGCTATTAGTGCTGTTAGAAATCTCCCAAATAAATGGTATCCACCAAAAGTGCTAATACTATGCTACGTACGCACCAACGAAAATACACCTAGTTATTGTAGCATATAACCATACCAGCCAGCCATTCGCCCGTTGGTTCGGCGGTTACATAGTAATAGCAACGTTTCATATTATCAGCACACATATTCAACTTTCAAGTAAGAAAAAATCTATCGTGTACCTATGGCGGGTATACTACCAATATTTGTCGGTGGTTCTCGCAAAGTAGTTTCAGTCAACTCTTGCACGTTGTTGTTGTGGCGTTGGGTGGGAGACAAGTGGGCAAATGTTATTGTTCAAGAAAATACACAAACACACACACACTCACGACTCTTTCGAAGCCAACACAGAGGCAACATTTAATCGAATTAGCTAGTTTGTTGTCGGCGAATGGAAAAAAGAAACCTTTTCTTTTTGTTTGAATTTATTAAAAGGCAAGAATCTTTATGCAAACGATTCATGATAGGGTAGGCAGCGTTTTAAAAGAGTTTTCTGGGGTAAACAATATGACAGTATGAGTGAACTGAAACGCAATTTTCGCTTGGTTGAGTGTATGCCGTGAGAAATCTACGACGCTCCGCACACATAGAGCCATTGTCGGTTTTCACATTTAAACGCCACACCCACAAATAGGCGCGGTGGGTGGTGTTGCAGGACAGATAAGATGCCAGCAAATTTGATAACAATCTACTAATTAACTCTTTTCCAGCTGAAGGACTTGGCGATAAATGGGCAAGCGACACGCTTTTTGTAATTGACATTGGAGCGCTTGTAAAATCGCAACTACTTTGTACTGTCATACGCTGAAGACAGGCTGTCGGAAAGGGAAATGTTTAATTTCATGAAGAAAGGTGTATCTGTGGCCAGCAGCAATGCCAGTGATAGAGAAAAGGCTGAACGGGAAGAGAAGGAGAAGAGAAAACGCGAAAAGAAGTTAAGAAAAGATGGAAAAACTGCAATTGGAGGAGTTTCGGGCAGTATGAGCACCGAGGAGTTGCTTCGTTTGGATGAGGTAATGGGGAAGCGCATGTGTATACACTTGTAAGGAGTGCTTATTTGTCGCATTTTTGTTTTAGGTTCGACGGTCCTTGAAGATACGAGGACGACGAAAGGAAAAGGAAAAACTTCCAAGTGGAATAACAGCTGATTACAGCGCTGAGTTTTTTGCGGCTTTAAATGCCGATTCAGTCAGTAATGAGCTGGATCGTGGCAATGAAGAAATTGTAGCATCTGTACATACTACCATTGAGAGTCGTTATAACGGCAATGGAACACCGACTAGCAAACATTCCATAAGTGAGTCACTCACATTCAGCAGTTCTGGAAATGATTTGGCCAAGGTAGCACACTTGTCTTCTTCCGTCCATCATTTGCTAATAATACATTTTCTCTTACAGAGCCGTTTTATGCTTCCGGTTCCGCCTAAACCCCCAAAACGTGGCATACTTAAGGGTTCGCGTAGCAATATTAGCAACATACACGAGGAAATAACTATTGCTTCTCCCGATGCACTCATACGCAATACAATGCAAAACGAACTCTTATTTGACGGCACTCGCAGCATGGGTGGTGCCGGCTCCATTGGTTCTAGTTCCAGTCAACATGGAACATCTTTCACCTCAGTAGAAAGTTTGCGTAGTGATGAGGGCGGCATACAACGAGCTATGACACTTCCGACCAATGCCCGTTATACCTCCCCTCACATACAATCTCAAGGGAATCTCCGCGTTTTGACGTCACCATCTCCTAGCGCAGATAGTCTTACAGATACTACAAATTCATCATTTGCCACGCCGCCGTTTTCGTTAAGCCCCATCGGAGAGTCTCAGGGCATGGAACGTTGGTCCCGTGTGCAGAATTTCGAAGATACGGATCTACCATTGCCGCCAATAAAGCTGGTTAAACTACCACCTCCAAGGACATTGATCATACGGCGACAGAAGTCTCCCCGGCAGGACTTTGGATTCAGTCTCCGAAAGGCCATGTGCTTAGACCGCTCAGAATCTCTGTCAAATCCAATATTTAAGCCGGTTATATTTGCAGAACCAGGTGCTGGTGGCGGTTCCACAGGCCTTCTGCCGGGTGATCGTTTACTTAAAGTAAACGGCACATCTGTTTGTGATTTATCGCGTGAAATAATAATAGAAATGATCCGCAATAGTGGCGACTCTGTCACCGTAGAAGTAAGTTTTGCCATGTAATAACATTTGAATTATAGTTATAATGTTTTGTTTTATCGTTTGCAGGTACAGCCAGTTTCAGAATTAGTTGAATTAAGTCGACGATGCATGCCCCAAAATAATACAAATGGTGATGATGAAGATTCTGATCGTTCTATAATAAATACGGATAATTGCAACACTTTAAAGCGCAGTGCTAGTAAACGCATTAAGGTAAGTCTGCTTGAGAAATTGTTATATTTGTCAATTACAAACGGTAATACTCCACGTAAGAAAAAATCTAAATGAATGTATCTTAATAAGTGAATAAATACTCAAGAACATAAATTAATAGGCATTCTGAAGAAATTTTGCTAACCTTTTGTTATAGTGATCCCCATGGAAGGGACTGAAACTTGGAATTCCGGGTCCTTTAATAGTGTTCTAGTTCTTCCAAAAAAATCGTTCCATGCCTTAATCTTCTCTTGCTATCTACTTTTTAATCGCTAAATACAAAACAGAACAGGATAAAAATTCCAACAAAAATTTTTTTTTTAAAAATGCGTATTGATAAGATTGTGCACAAATATTTAATTTTTAATAAAAACACTACTTGTTTATTTATTCTTCAACCAATAACATTGACAGTCAATGAACACTTCGAATTCGCCTCCCTGTTAACCTTATGAATAATCCTTGGAACCAGCTATTTCCTCTATGAATTTGGTTTCTGGCCGACCTTATATAACCCCTGGAATCTACTAATTTCTACTATTTTATCGATATAATAATGAACAATTTCTTATCGTAGTAAAATGTAGTAGATTTTTACAGTAGAGGAAGAGGCAAAAAACATTTTTCGATTAACTTAACAAACATTTGGTCTGTTCCAGTTCTTTTTTAATAGTAAATCTAGTAAAAGGGAATAATTTCAAAATCTCTCTCAGAGTACAAAAAAAAAATTCGAAAAGTTCGGGAACGGAAATCCAGTAAATATTTCAACATTAGATGCATTAGCATTTAGCATTTCTGGTTTCCATTTTTATTCGCCCAAATTTTTCGAGAACACGTTTACAAAGAGAACGCCATTTTATTTTGTGCTCCCTTAAATTTGATTCAATGTTTTACCACTTTTGTGGGTTCAGGAACGGGTTTCGAGTAAAAAGTTGCAAAACTTGTAAAATTAGTAGATTCTTTTAGGTTCTTTTAGGTTTAATGCACAAAATCAAAATGAATTTATACTGAATTAAGTCCTGATTTAGATTAGGCGAGTTTACTTGCGACAATTATTATCGTTCTCTTTTGAACTTGCTTCATGCGTCTATACAAGGCAATTCGGTTTCAAAAATATATAGGGTAAGAGCACCAATAGTCGGCACATTAAGAATTTTCGTTTTTTAAACGCTTCACCATTCCAAGTGCATCTTTTCCACGATATTGTATTTAGGTTCAAATGTTTCGAAATTTTGTTTACTCTTCGGTGGAATGCTAATTTCTTTAATTAACTCGTACTAAAGTAGATTTAATTAATAATTATGTAAAGTAGTGCCTTTGTGCCTATAGTCGGCACATTTTTCCAATTCTCGGCATGTTATGTTCCAATAGTCGGCATGTCACATTTTAGTTAAACAAAAATTATATATTTAATTGATTTTTCTGCTATTTGCAATAATAAATTATTACTATGAGACGTTTCCATCAGTGTTGTATTGAAAAAGTTATATAAAATAATATTATTTATTAAAATATTACAATTATAAAACATGGTGCCGACATTAGGAACATGTTATCCAATTCTCGGCATGGCTAAATAAGGCATTTCAGAGGTTAAAAGTATTTGAGATTAAAATCGTGTCTTCTATTATATAAAACACTCAAAACTAATTTTTTATAAGATAATCGTTATTTAAAGGACTTATTTAACATTTTTCCCATTTTGAGCCAAAATGATCGAAAAGGTGCTTATTATTCACCCATATGCCGACTATAGGAAAACCTTAAATTTTTTTGTTCCTAAAGTCGGCATCGATAAAAATATTATTATTAGAAATATTTTTTAATGATTTTAAATTCTAAAGTATTATCCTCTATGTTCTTTACAATTATGAAGAAGATCCTTGTGAAAAAATATAATTTTAATATAGTTACAAGTCTTTTGAAATCGTCATGCCCACTATTTTTTTTTCTTAAGAAACATGAATTATCGCTAGTGTTGACAAACCTCATTGACAAAATGCTAATTTTTGACTGAGTAAATGAAAATAGCTCGATTAAATTTTATATAGAGATAGATTGCAGTGTCATTGAAGATTATTCAAGGTATTTTTCATATTTAGTTATAGGATTTTTTAGTTATTTGAAGTTATATAAAACAGATGCCGACTATTGGTAGATGCCGGAATTAGGTGCGTTTACCCTATATATTTTTTACATTTTGTGACAATGTTCTGCATTGGTATTTCACTACTGACACTACAAACAAAATACACAAAACGAATTGCCAGAAAATTGTCGGTACGGGCAATTTTTTTCAATTTCTATTCCCCTTGCCCCTCTCTCCTGCAAACAAAGACTTGCCGCAAGTAAACTCGCCCAATCTAAATTGAGACTAAGTAATTTCAATATGGCAATGCTGTAGAAAATAAATTGATTGTTGTCAAATTTGTTTACGCTTATGAAAATAAAATTTATAAACAAAGGAAAATTGAACAGCTGATTTTCTTCCTTTCTGCAATGTATCAATTTCATAAAGACGTAACCCCAAAAAAATATTAGAAACAAATGTCAATATATTCTTCCTACACACAGACAAACAATAGTTTCTGTCAGGGGTAAGTATTAATTCAAATTAAGTAATTTTTGGCTGTCGTCTGTCTAGGGTATTACGCACCAAATGTTGTGCAAAAATTATCAAAATCCTCGAAAATAATGTACTTATCTCGTTACCAATGCTGAAGTTTCATATAAAAATCTAATATGTATTTATGTTATGTTTTCATTGCAGCTGCTGTTTTTTTGGCCGACTTAAATTCAAAGTATCTTATACCATAGACAGACGACAGCCTTAATTTGCATTAAAAAGTTCTTAATTTGAATTAATATTAACCCCTGACAGACGAGAGTTTCTGCATTTACGAAACAGTTTTTTGCTTCAAAACAATTGTTTGTCTGTGTGTAGGATGAAAATTTTCACAATTGTTTCCAATATTTTTTGGGACTTCATCTTTATGAAATAGATACATGACAGAACGGAAGAATAACAGCTAAAATGGTAGTAAAACAGCTCCCGATTGGAAAAAATTTTGATATTTGCCTTTATTTCTAATATTTTTTTCATAAACGTAAACAAATTTGACAACAAATAATTTATTTTCTACAGCATTGCCATATTGGAATTGTTTAATTCAGTATAAATTCAGTTTGATTTTGTGCATTTACGACACATAAAAATGTGGATAATGTACAAGTTAATTTGAATTAAGACTGTTAATGCAAATTAAGGCTGTCGTCTGTCTAGGCTATTATACATTATGCTCATTTTTATGTGTTGTTAATGCACAAAATCAAACTGAATTTATAGTCCCAATTTAGATTAGGCGAGTTTACTTGCGGCAAGTCTTTGTTTGTAAAGAGATGGGGAAGGGGTATAGAAATGAAAAAAAATTGCTCGTACCGACAATTTTCTGGCAATTCGTTTTGTGTATTTCGTATTTGTTGACATTTTATATATATTAAATGTGAAAAAAAAAACAAATAAAAAAATATTTTGGAAACCGAATTGTCTTGTATAGACGCATGGAGCAAGTTCAAAAGAGAACAATAAAAATTGCCGCAAGTAAACTCGCCTAATATAAATCAGGACATACTGAATTAGGCAATTTCAATATGGCAATGCTGTCGAAAATTAATTGTTTCTTGTCAAATTTATATTTATGAAAATAAAAATAAGAAATGAAGGCAAATTTCAACCTTTTTTTAAATTGGCAGCTGTTTTGCTAAGATCATAGTTGCTATTCCTCCTTTATGTCATGTATCTATTTCCTAAAGATGAATCGAAACAAATGTAAAAAATGTTCATCATACACACAAACAATTGTTTTGAAGCAAAAAACTGTTTCGTAAATGCAGAAACTCTCGTCTATCATTAATTTAAATAAGAAATTTTTAATGCAAATTAAGGCTGTCGTCTGTCTGTGGTATAACACCATATTTTCTATTTTACAAAATAGATAGCAATTGGTAACGTTTTAACTAAAATTTGAACCGAAAATATTACGCGATTTCATAAGAAAAATATGGTTTTCTTCAGCAGCGTTACGCTGCTATTATTTTGACCGCAGCTGTATATAAACATACCACGAAGTGTCAACAATTTAAACATTTGTAAATTCAATATCGATCGAATTGATAAATTTCATCCAAATTAGGCAAATTGTAATATTTCTTTCAAAATCACATTAATTTCTGGTACATTCCCCACAAAATGGTCCATACTTTGCTGAAAATAGATTTTATAATATAATGCGATTTAAAGCAAAGTACACATAAACTTTACCCAAAATATGCGTTGTTGTATATATATATATATATATATACATATATACTGATTTGCTTACTAAAGATTGCAAATATTTATTTACATTGGTATGTGGGAAATTTATTAATTAGAAAATTGAATTTCTGATAAGAGAAAGACGTCGATAATATTTTTTTGTTTCAAGCAATGCCTACCACAGAAGAGGTATGGCATATATAATAACCATTGCCGCACCTCAGAGAAATATAATACTTATTAGCCTTATGAGTTTTTGTAGTCTCGTGAATTACAACAATTACTCACCCTATTGGAACTTTTGGACTATATGATGTCCCATGTTCATGCTTTTATGTAAATTAATAACGTTTATAGTTTTGTTATTGTTTAAGAATTACATGTTAATACCGAAAGTAGTTTTACATTTTCATATTTGACAAAAGGACAATTCATATGCTTACACTTGTTTTTTGGTATATTTCTTCTTTATTTATACATTTGGAAGAAGTTTGTGGTCTCAAATGTTCAATCGTGTTTCACTCCGCTGTTTGCAAGCATTTTGCATTTGTCATCCATTCAAATGTTGACAGCGTTGAATACCTCTAGCGGTACACTCGTATATGCATTCTTAGAATGTGTTGTATACACTCTAGATGGATTTTGGTATTACTGCTGTGCACTAGGTTAGAAACGGAACAATATCTTAAGTTCGATATGAATGTCTGCAGTAAACACGCACCACACCTATGTGTGGCCTACGTAAAAAAAATGTGAAGCAATTGCAGGCAGCAGTCACTAATAACAAAATAAACGATATCTCTGTTGGCGTAGTGATCAGCAGCAGCCCCATTCCATGTCAAATAGCGGAGTAGGAATTATTTAATATTGTTTTTGTATTTGTGTTTATCACGCCTCACAACTGAAAGGAACCCAGTAGTTCGAGTAACTGGTGATGAACTAGATATTTCACTAATTACCTGTAAGTACCACTAGTTACCACTTCATGCCCTAGACTGGTGAATTTAACATGGGTATGTCATTGGGGAAGTCAATTGTCCCCTGCCTGCGTTACCAGTATACAGTTATTTCGATAGTCGATTCATTACCCTTTGCATTACCAGTAACTACTGAATTGGTGTGATGTGCGTAGACAACTTTTTCAATTGACAAAAAAATCCAACTGTCTATTTTGTGTTCCTTTTTGGAGTATGAAGTAACTAGATCACCAAGTAACTAGCTATATAACTATATAATAGCAGACAATTGATATTTTTTGAACAACTGGGAACATAGGAAAAATAAATAAATATGTATGTATGTGTGTACAATTTTCTGAGTAAATGAGCGAACTTGACGATGAACGCAAACACTGACGATGATAATATAATGGACATGTCAACCATATTGTTTAGGTAGTTTATAACATAATGGCGGTAAGTCCACAATTTTTATACACTTCAATCCATAAATGTGACAGGGCGTAGATGGGCCTACAATTAGGTTCTTACTTTGTTCTTGCCTTTAAGCGATTATGGATCCTTGTCAACAATAAACACTTGACCACATGGGAATCAAACTTGGTACGGCGTGAACTGAGCTCTAAAATCACCTTGGACCTTAAGTAGTTGTCTAGAAGCGATACTGGAGAAAACTGAGTTAAACATCACCTTTGTTGTGGCCTGCAATGAAAGGAAATTTTTCTGCACTCCCACTATGATCTTCCATCAGTTTTGTGAGTTAAATTTCTCAAAAACGCCAAACTGGTGTTATGCAAAACGAATGTTTATTTATCTGTTATAACGCAGAATTACTGACAATAACCGATAACAGCAATTTTGTATTTGTTTCTATTTTTATGTCAACAACTAACATAAAGTAGTTTGACAAAATGTTTATTAATTTAAACATGAAATTTATATGTGTATTAATGTTATCAGATCAGAAATATTGCAGAATCGCAGGATAGCTGTTGTGTCAGAGGAAATAAATATATCAAACCTCAATAAAGCCATATCAACCTATCACATTCAACGTAAATATTTGTCGGAGCCCAAAGACGTCTCTTAACAATAAAATTAACGATTGTCCCAAGGCTTGTGTGAGTTCTTGCTGGACAAAGTGGTTGTGTAACACATTTGCTTCTGAAATAAAATTATTATTGTTTTTGTTAAGTATTATTTTTGTCAAGCCCGCTGATTTCCGAAATGCACTGATTTTTCGTTTTCCTAGAAAATATCGTTCTATATTTGAATATTTTTTAACATTGAAATATATTGGCAATTATTGTTCGTTATTTTTTTGTAATTTATTTTTTATAAAAATTCATCGTGTAATAATTTAAGTTAACAGCAAGTGAAACAACAACCAGAAGTTTGATGTCCTAAGTAATACTAGTGTCAACGTCATTTAATCAAAAAATGTTATTTACATTTTTTATTAAATGAAAAAAATGTAATAGTTTGGAATCTATCCTATGTATAATTTCTATCGGTTCCAAATTTGTGTTCATGTCGTCGACAACATGGCTGGAGAGTAAAATAGTCGAATTTTGGTTGTAATGACTAATTATACAAATATGATAATATTAATGACCACATTTCAAAACTATGCTATTATCCATATTTGTATCGCAATTTTGTAATAAGTATTCGCAAATTCAAATTGGATATTTTACTGTATTTCTTGGAGTATTTCCATGACGTCAAATTTTGCAAAATTCTCTCAATAGTTTTCAAAGGGGATGGAACTAATTCGTTAATGAATCATTACACACACCAAACAGTGGCCTTTAATACCTACATCACGATTTATGCACAAACGTATATAAATGATCACAAGTGTAGGCTTCATGTGTTATGCCATTACATCTAACACGTTAAGAAATCGCCAACGACAACAACAACAACAATCTTGTGTGCCCCCACCAACAGTCAGACCACATACAACAAACATACTAAGATTTGCTATGGGTGTGCTGAGATGCAGTCAGCTCGGCTACGACAGCCGGGGTTGTGGCGACAATGATCAGATCGCGCTGATGGTATAGATCGGATTGTATGCGCACAAAAGCCGTTCGCCAGTTGTCTAGACACATCAGTATGCTTCAAACCGTCCGTGTCTATGTACGATACATGTCGCTAAAACCGTCGTTGGCAATTGTCTACACGTTTGTTGGTAAATAAAAGCCGAACAAGAGAACAGTACCAACAGTACCGTACCGATTGTAAAAAAATACAATAAGTCTGCAGACAGCGAGATAATCCAGTACGGTTCGGTTACTCGGCCTGCCAATCTATTGCATTTAAGCGTGTGTGTCTCAACGAACTTGACGAAGTGGCGCAAGCAAAACAGAACAAATCAAAACGCCTGTTGGCGGTCAATATGTTATTTGCAGGAATTACGACTTTTATTCTAATTATCATTCGTAATTGCTGACAAATCGAAGTGGCGTAAATGTCAAATATCAAACCAATTGGTTGCAGGATAAATCCGATGTTATAACGATCGACGATTCAATACCACCATGATATGATATTATCGGCACCTTGTGATTACCATTGCGTAAAATTGGGAAAAATCACGTGCAAACTTTTAAAATAAATGCTAAGTCGATGGTCAATTCGCTTTCTTTCAGATCTCTTATTTGTATATCTAATCGTATAGGGTTTACGGTATGTAGGAATTTACGAAACATTTGCACTATTGCAGACTATCAATGTGCTGTCTGTTAGTTGTCCGGTTCTAATGAATTGGTCGTTCGTTACCAACTGGTAAACCTTCAAGCCCAACAAATGCCATGTCCAAGACAGCAACTCGAAACAATTACGAGTAATATGATATTTATTATTTTTGTTTTTGCACATATGTACCTACCTGCCTAGCCTACATACGAACAAACACTCACACTTATCCTCAGTTGGTACTTACGTAAGACAGAATGAGTAGGTACTTTCCTAGATCTGCGGGAGATGTAATCGCGCCAACAATTGAACAATATTCATTGGATAGAATATTGTTGGTAGGTTGCTAGGTAGGTTTATTTCTTGTTTTTGTGCTATGGCTATGCTGTGCCGTTTGGCTTAAAAGCTCGTCGTCAACAACACAGTCGCACTAACGGAGGCTGAGATAGTAATAGAGACTTACTCAAGGTTATGATCATTGCAAGTTGGCTGACTGCTGGAACAAAACCCACATACATTCATACACAATCCCGTCTCACAATGGTGGTATATAAGTTTTTAGTTGTTTAGCTTTATTGTGAGCGCGACAATAAGCAGCTTCCGAATTGAAATAGATCTGGATTGAGACAACAATTAATTGTTAGCATTTGGTATATTTGTTGATCGTGGTATCATTGGTCTGTTGCTTTGTTCGCTATAATCGCCACAATGTCTGGAAAACTCTGAATTTGAATTAGATAAATTGAATTTTTATGGACATTATTACTGTGAAAAGTGCTAAGTGACTAACTAAAGTTAAAAGTGAACGCGATAATGAATAAATAAAGACAACGTATTTTGAAAGGAAAACTTCACCAAGATGTTTGTGCTTCCAAAGAGTTTCGAGCATACATTACGGTCGCCAATTGTGCCAGCTACACCAAATAATCCTGGTTCGGGACTTAACCCAGCTTTTCACAAAGGATGTATAGGCAAGGCTCACGCCTGTGGCACTATGAAATCCAAACTAAATAAACCCATACCACCACCACGTCCCGACAAATTGCCGCGAAAAAATAGTATTAGTTCGGAAACCGTTAGTGATAGTGGATCGGAACAATCCATCCTCAATTGCAGGCCAATAAACAATGGTGGCTGTTGTACACCAGAGGATCAAGTCACAATGAAAAAGTATTCCAACGAGAATTTGTTACACATTTCCAAGCGGAGTAATAGTCACACCACATCACCCCTGCCCCCGAAAAGAAATAAGGCTGTTGCTCCACAACCAACCTCAAAACTGAATCGAACGACCAGTACACGTTCCATACAACGAATGCGCCTACACAGTGAAGGTGACAAGAGTCCCGAGTGCATCAACGCAAATTTGGGGACAACCTTTGAGCGCACTCAAAAGAATCGCAGCTTTCGCTTGAATAAATCCAGTGTGTACGGCAACACTGGCACACCACCACCACCGGTTTCGCAGCCGACCAACATCAGACCACCATGGAATAGCGCCGCAGCGGGAGCAAAATCTCCATCGCCATCGACTCTACTAGGCAGTCGGATATTCCGTTCTTCGCTAAGGCGGCGAAATGACTCTGTTCAATGGCAGACATTGTGGGAGCGTTCGATGCAAATGCGTGGTCCAACATCCAGTTGTGGTGTTTATAAGAACTACGACGAGGCAATTAAAATTAAGGTTTGTTAATATGAAATATGTTAATATGAAATATATGTATATAATAAATATAATTATTGAAGAGATTCGGTGTATGTGAAAACCGTATATTGATGCGATTTCTCATGTATGCAAAGAAAACAAATGCGTTTAACTATTTCTGCAGAAATTCCCGAATTACAATAAATAGAAATTCATTTAATTTACATTTGAAAAACAAGATTTAGAACCGCTATAACTTTCGTTCGCAGTATCCGAGTTTGTGAACTGATTTTGTATGGGCATATTTTTCTTAACCAATGTACCAAAAATCATGAATGAGATTGGAAAAAATTCCAAATTTTATTCCATTCCCATATATCCCATATACATCTTGGAAAGTAATCACATCCCCACTACTGGAATAACTTTCATTGCTGTATTACTTCCAAAATGCAGGAGGTTAGACATTCAGATTATTATTCATATCATCCACGATCGTTTCGCTATTTTGCTAACAAGAAGTAAAAGGTTCTGATCTTGTGGAATATGTCCACTTAGAATAAATATTAGGTGAATATAATACAGTTGTTCAATATTAATTTGCAAGCTTTAGAGCCACAAAATGACATAACCGCTTGTATATCACGAAATGTCTTTAATAATAAAAGGTTTCAGCATTCCTTACAATGAAATGCAATTGATTCAAAATAAGTTAACTGAACTTTCAATGACCAAGGTCTCATTTTGTTTATAATTTATGTAGCTTTTCGTAAAAGTTGATTTTTTTCCGTTTTAAATTTGTACGATTAAAAAAACTAAAAACTACTTATTTTTACAAATATATAATGATTTGACGTGACCTTTTTAAATAATAGGCAAAAGTTCGTTCTTTACTGCTTCAACAAATCATTTTTGAGAAAAAAATTTAAAAAGTCCTAACTCTATTGTATTTGTTGCTGCACGTAGTTCTTCTCGACAAATCTATCCAAATTTGTCTGCATATTAATATACATTTCCACAAAAAATATGTTTGTATAGTATTCTTTTTCCTTCAAAGGTAATTTATGTTCTTCGAATTAAAAATCGACATGAGTATCAAAACAAAAAACGGGGAATTATTTTTAATTTACACAGATACATAATCGATCGAACTACTCAGACAAAATGAACTTATATTACTAATAGCACACAACAGTGCTAATATGGAATAACCTTTTTTAAATAAGTAAAATTGTTGATCGACGACACACGGAGTACGGATCTTCTTAGTTTTCCTAAACGCCTGCATGCTGTGTGAACTGCAATTGCCCTTTGTCTCCGCGTATCCGCACAATCCACGGTTTATTTATGGCCATTTGTTCTTATTCGGTTCACTACTCCGTTGCTTTTTGCGGAAGTTCTCATTTATGAAGTGAATTGTTATTAAACAAGCAATCAACAACAGCTACTACAATGCACAATGTTCCATTTCTTTCGTTGTCATTATGGACTGTAGCAAGCACACCGCCACCCAGCGATTCAATCAGCCAGGCAGTCAATTATGTGGCAACACAAATACCTCCACAAGAAAAAAGCAGCACATACAAATATATCAACAAAATGTGAGCGTTGTGATTAAATAAAGAATTTTATGACGAAGGAATAATTTTTCTCTGTTTATTAGAGCGGGCCGAGACTTTGAGGTGCTTTTATGCATTACATAATTGGTATGTTCCCGTACTGCAAGAATCTACTATTTTTTACTACGATAACACTTTTTTCCTTAATGGTATCGAAAAAATATTAAAAACTCTTAGATTCTTGCAGTACGGGAACAACATACCAAATATATTTTTATAGCAATATGTCGACTTTTATTTTTAAATATATATGTACATGGAAGCGTACATATTAATTTTAATATAATATATTCAAATTCCTCTTCCACAATCTCGAACGAGGATTACAAATGGCTAAAATCTTCAAAAAAATATTCATTCATTGTAGAATGTGGAATAATAACGTTGTTTTCATTTTATTTTGAGTATTGGCATTTCAATTATTTTAAATAAATTACAACGAATAAAATTGCAATTGCGAACATTTATTCGACAAACTGTATGTATATTTTTTAAGCTCACGACTTTATTGTATACACATATATGTAGGTATTTGTCTATAGTCATTATCTTCTTGGTTTTCTTCTATTTTTTGTCTTTTTTTTTGGCGCGTGTGTGTTTCTTCGGCGTCGACATATAGGGAAGCGTAAATATCCATGGCTACGGACGCATCCGTTCACCGTCATATAAATACATGTGGTCAATGGACTTTATTCTAACGTTTGTTTTGGTATATTTTTGGATTTTTTATTGTTAAGTTTTCAAAATTGTAATACGCCGTTATTTGAATAACGTTATTTTATGGTAGAAATGATTTCTTTTGCCATGGGTCACGAATAGCATAGGCAGATTACATTATGTGGATTTCCATATAACCAATTACTATTTGATGAGGCCACTGTCAAATAATAAATTCACACACACTAGATGGCCAATAAAATGTACTAAATGTCATATCGTTCTAGGTTAAAGTTCTGAAGATAAAATATCCGAAAATAAAAATTATATTCAATTTTTCACATTGACATGACGTAACAACGTTGATTATCGGGTTCAGTCTATCCACGTCTGTAAAATTGATTTATTAACAATTCACTAACTCGGTTTAACATTTATGTATGTACGCTCGTAATTAGTTAAAGGGCGACAATGCTTTTTGTACCGTATAATCTCTTAAGGTACGTTTATGCCATGTACAGACGAGCGTTGTTCGCTCTCTCATTCGTTGTTCGACCCTTAATTATGAAGTAATTACTTAGTTCCCCATACAAAATTGTCTGAGCGAACACCGACTTTTGTACGTTGTTCAATTCGAATCACTCTCTGAATAACCAAGAAATTTGTCCCATCTCTAACAATTGAGAGTATTTATCGAAAATAAATTAATTTTGACAGCATGAAAATATTTAAACATTTTCCAAAGTTTTCCGTAAAATTGAAAATTATGAATGAAAAGTAAAAAATTGTATAGTTTTTATATATGCAGCAGGATGTAAATTTTGTTTTCTACATAATGCAATATGCATTTCTTTTCCCTTGGTTCTAATTAGCGCACAAAACAAGAAACAAATGTGGGGCAACGCAAACAAAAAATTCTCCAAATTTTTTATATGTGACAGTATGTGACATTTGAATTAAGAAAATATAAAAATGTATTAAAAACAAAAACAACATTTTCAGAAAAAATGGAAAACATGAATGAAAAGTAAATAGATATGGGTTCATACTATAGTCAGGATAAAGAGAATTATTTTTTCTATTTAGATCCCTATGTAATTCACTAAAATATGTTACATTATTGGTGTAAAATAATAAACAAAAAGTTTGAAATAAAAAACTCTGATGACATGAATTGTGAATAGTGTCGTATGAACGGGTTCGGATGCCCGTCAGAACATGGCATTAGATTTACGAAACCCACTCGATCTCAAATGTCAATTCCATTGCTTATACGTCAAATATTATCCACTGGATTTGTGAACAGGATTAACGTGATGTATACGCAATGGACATTTGACATTTGAGATCGAGTGGATTTAGTAGTCTAAACGTAGCCTTATACGTTCTATTTATCAATCAACACTGCGTTTACATGCGATTGTTCTATCGCATGTAAACGATTTCATGCATTAATTGTCAAAAATTTAACATTGTAGTGTTGGCGGTTTATTTGGGATACCATTTGTATTTTGTTTTTGCAAAATAGTCAGGCTGAATCCCAGTTTGTTGTTTTTATAAAAAAACAACTATTTATTAGTGGGGAATGTATGGCATTGTTTGCCGAGGGGTAAGGCAGGGAAGACTATAGTTTCGGATCACGCCACTGATCCTCATCAGTTCCCTTAGTTTTTTGTTGGGATATTCTCCCCAGAAGCTATTGCTTCTATACAAAAAACCTTTCATACCCAAATGTCTCTTGTAACAAAGCGAAGTACTTAGCTGACCAACGACATAAACTGCATGAGAATTTCGCTGGAGCCTCACTTCGAGGTTAACAAGGCATTTACAAACAATACCACACCTTTCCCACTGTTGTGTGTTGTCACATCGCGACAAATGCACACAACGACTTTGTTGGTGTTGCTAGTATACAGCAACAAACCAAACAGTTCAACCGTGCCTGCGTCTACAACTTCAGTAGTGTTGGCGGTTTATTTGGGATACCATTTGTATTTTGTTTTTGCAAAATAGTCAGGCTGAATCCCAGTTTGTTGTTTTTATAAAAAAACAACTATTTATTAGTGGGGAATGTATGGCATTGTTTGCCGAGGGGTAAGGCAGGGAAGACTATAGTTTCGGATCACGCCACTGATCCTCATCAGTTCCCTTAGTTTTTTGTTGGGATATTCTCCCCAGAAGCTATTGCTTCTATACAAAAAACCTTTCATACCCAAATGTCTCTTGTAACAAAGCGAAGTACTTAGCTGACCAACGACATAAACTGCATGAGAATTTCGCTGGAGCCTCACTTCGAGGTTAACAAGGCATTTACAAACAATACCACACCTTTCCCACTGTTGTGTGTTGTCACATCGCGACAAATGCACACAACGACTTTGTTGGTGTTGCTAGTATACAGCAACAAACCAAACAGTTCAACCGTGCCT